GGTGCAGTGCCGGAGAATCGTGACCGCCTGCGCGCCGTACCTGAAGCCGTTCCTCGACAGCTTCAAGTCCGGCGCCATGATTGCGGTCGACGCCTCGTCGCAGAACACGGGGGCCAAGAGCAAGAGCGGCAGCGGCAAATACGCAGCCGCGGCGTCGGCGCAGAACAGCAAGCAGCGGCGCGATTCACTCTTGGGGCGAGGAGCGTCGCGCAGAGGCGACGGCGACATTGAGCTGGGGAGCATTCCTGCTTCCAAGACGGCCACGACGGTGACGGCGAACCAGGACGTCAGCGCCGAGGGCTGGGACAGACGCAGCCATACGAGCCAGACGGTGCTGGTGCAGCAGTCCTGGCAGGTGGACATTGAGGCCAAGTCGCCGGTTAGTGCAAGCAGGACGCAGAATTAGATGATTGCAGTAATGTATTATGATTTCCCTTGGGTTAGAGCCCCCTGGCGCAGGGCAAATGCAGCAATAGACGGGCTTGTGCAGGGCCCAACCACGTAGTATACGGATGTCTTGCAAGGACTTGGTGAACGAGCAGCCTCGCAAAGGATCCTGGTCAGGGACTTTGAACACAAAGGGCGATTTCTCCGTCCCTGTACTCCGTAGAGGGTCAACTGCCTTTGATTGCCCGTCGATCCTCGGGGCCGAGCAGGCGCTCTCTTCGCCCCGTGGGAACGGACAGGCACCGGGGACGGGTCAATCAATTCGGCAGGCCCTTTTCTTTTCTTTTTTTTGGAATTACCGTTCTGACCGGTTCCAGGAGTAATCATGAGCACGGATGGCGCGATTGGACACGCCAGGGGAGCTGATTCTGCAACAGGTGGAAACAAGCTTGAATGCTTCATGCGCCGACAACCAACCACGGCACATGGTGCCGGTTCCGCATCAAGACGACGCGAATCTGAGTCCCCTGGTCCTTGCCCATCTTGTTAGGCTGAGTTATGCGTCATGCGCGCTAATGCGGCTCGCGCCATGAACCCTGGTTTCAGACTAGGTTTGACCATGTTGGAGCTTTGAGTTGCTCTTGATTTCTGCGCAAGCTCGTCTGCGAACCCGTGGCTCTTGCTGGCCTCGTCTCTAGATCGCGGGCAGGAGAGAAAAAGCCGGGCGTGGCAACAACACCATCACCGTCGTCATCATCACCATCGTGTGCCTCGCTCGTCACCAGGTTCATGTCACAATGAGTGTACGACGAGAGGGCCATGTCCTCGACGACATGACGGGAAGCAAGTCTGCTAACCCTACCATTACCAATGCATCCCAGAAAGACCTCCACGACCGCCATCAGTTGGCACGGCTGGGCAAGAAGTCGGTCCTCAGGGTACGCCGCCGCACAACACGGGCTACCAAGCATCTGGCTGATTCGTCCTTCTGTTTATAGCGCAACTTTGGCTTCCTGTCCACCGTCGGCTTCAGCTGCGCCGTCCTCATCACCTGGGAGGGCACGCTGATGAGCTTCGCGCCCGGCCTTCTCAACGGCGGCTCCGCGGGCCTCATCTGGGGGTTCCTGATCGTCTGGCTGTGCAACATCAGCGTCTTCACCACGCTCTCGGAGCTCCTCTCCATGGCTCCCACCTCGGGCGGCCAGTACCACTGGGTGGCCATGCTGGCGCCTCGCTGGTGCTCCAAGTTCCTCAGCTACGTCACCGGATGGTTGACGATAGGCGGCTGGCAGGGCGCGTGTGCGTCGGTCGGATACCTCACCGGCACCATGATCCAGGGCCTGGTGGCCTTTAACCATCCGCACTACGCGCCGCAGTCGTACCAGGGGACGCTGATGCTGTGGGCGGTGGTGATCCTCGCCGTGCTGTGCAACACGGTGCTGAGCGCTCACCTCCCCAAGCTGGAGGGCATGCTGCTCGTCGTGCATATCATAGGTTTCTTTGCCATTATTATTCCGCTCGGTACTTTTGGAGCCCATGGGAATGCGAAAGACGTCTTTACTACGTTCCACAATGGCGGGAACTGGTCGACCCAGGCTCTGTCTAGCTTCATCGGAATCGTAGGCAGTGTGTTTTCGTTTGCAGGTGCGAATCTCCCTTTGTAATGCCAATCTGTAGGCGGGCTCCGTTTTCACAGTACACGCTGCTAATGAAGCCCTTGTCAAAAGGTGTCGATTGCACTTTTCATGTGAGTTTGAAACGTCGTCGTAGCCCCGGCGACAAATTCACTAACACGCCGAAACAGATGTGCGAAGAAGTTCGAAACCCATCGCTTGTCGTCCCGCGGTCCATCATAATCAGTATCCTGATTAATGGTTCTCTCGGCCTTTCCATCATCATCGCCATGGCCTTTTGCAATTCCGACATTGAGGCGGCGTTGGCATCGCCCTCTGGCTATCCGTTCATGGAAATCTTCTACCAAGCGCTGGGCTCACGATCGGGCACCACGGTCATGGCCTCCATCATCATCTTCATGACTCTCGCCTCCGTCATTGGTGTCATTGCCACGACGTCGCGGATGTTCTGGGCGTTTGCCCGAGACCGTGGCCTGCCCTTCTGGCGCACCCTGTCAAAAGTACGCGTCTGCAAGACTTGCAAGTTTGCTGCATATAGAAACTAATAATTCTCATTTAGGTTGACTCTACTACTTGTGTTCCGGTCTGGGCCATCCTCACCACGAGCACCATATCCTGCCTCCTTGGTCTCATCAACATCGGCTCACAGGTCGCTTACAACGCCCTCGTTTCTCTCTCCATCTCCTCGCTGTATTCGTCATACCTCATAGCCGCGGGTTTACTTCTGTATCGTCGCTGCACTACGGGTTTCAGCATGCCTGACCCGTCTTCTCTTCCGGCTCTGGCGGAGACGACGGGCAAGGAGTTGGTTTGGGGGCCATGGCATCTTCCAGGTATTGGAGGCATTATTAACAACGTCATCACTTGCGTTTACCTGAGCATTATTTTATTCTTCAGCTTCTGGCCGCCCTCTTCGGAGGTTACGCCAGAAACCATGAACTTTAGTGTACTGATTACAGGGTCTTTGGTATTATTTAGTATTGTGTACTATCTAGTTTGGGCCAAGAAGGACTACAAGGGCCCTCTTCTGGAAACCTAGGAGACGAGTGGCAGGTGATGGTATTTGTTTTAAGAGTTTGGGTAAAGTCTTGGGGCAGTGAAGGTCCGCCGCAGAATAGAATCCATATCCATACAGAGACGTACAAATTTAAATATTACCCGGACGGCGCCTGTGCAGCTATGCGCCATCTGTGACAAAGGCTTCGAGTATTAACTCGATTCAACTGCAATAAACCCCCCTTTGAATACCAAAGGCCTTTTTTTCAAGGCCCTTGAGGACAAAAGGTTTTATTAACGCAAAGTCCGAGGCCACAGACGCCGAAGGCCTCGAGCCATTGTGCAACTATCGTCAATTTCGGGTCCATGAGACATCTTCGAACTCAGAGTAACCAAAGAAAATTACCTGCCCGGCTTGACTTCCGACAACGGGACGTGAGCAAGGATATGTTACTCTTCCCACCTGAAAACAGACCTACACTTTGGGCGCATACGACTTGCGGCCCGGGCTGGTGATTCCCGAAATGGTAATATCCGACGCCAAAAGCTGACGACGCCACACTGCCAACATGTCGGTCAGCATTTAGTTCCGCCTTGTGACACGACGGCAAAGCATTACAAAACTGAAAAAGGCGGCCATCTCTCACCTTTGCTACATCTTTTCAGCTTGCATCTATAACGCTGTCACATGCTTCCAACACTTCTCCCACAGCAAATCTTGCTCTGCTAACCGAGAAACAATCTTGCATGAGCCGCGAGCATGCCACGATATTCCGGCCCGAAATAGCACGGCACCCCGAAAGAAAGAAATACAGCGCCGAGAAAAGCAAGTCAAGCAATCGCCAATATGCCGCGATTATCCGAGCCTCTCAGCGAAGCGCTCCTTAACGCTTGGCGGTTGGTGTTTACGTTCATCGTCGTTGCCATATTTGTTACGGCGTGGCTGGTCCAAGGGGAGGTGATCAAGACACCGAAATGGGCTAGGGACTGGAGCGGCGAGACCCCCGAGGCTCAGAGAGAATACGCGGCCGCGCTGATGACGCCTGTTTGCGTCTTTTTTTTACTGTTTGCCATTGCAGGCTATATCCGGATGAGGAGAGAAGATACGAGGGCTGTTTGAGTGCTGAAACGGATGGTCCTCGATCCGACGTCAAGGCCTACGAAGCAAGCCCATTTTAAAAGTGGCTTGGGCATTGGCTGCCTAGACACCTTATTGCATGTGTCTCAGCCTTTGACGCAGTCATAGCACATTGCGATAATGACGGACCGTGCCCGAGTGACTCCGATAGAGCGCCGACTGCGTGGCACGCGGAAGGATACTTACCGGGATGACTTGCCACCAAAGATTTTAACAGGTGGAGAATGCGGAAAAGGCGTAATATTGCGCAAAAGCACATGTGACAATGTACCCATTCTGAGACGGCGGCGACTCGTCTGGTTTGAATGAGCTTGCAAGCTGGTCGTTGGGCGCGATGATCTAAAACAAATCTAAGCAGTGATTTCTGCCACCATCCAATACTGCATGGTTTCATATTATCTCAGAAGAATCATAGCATGCGTCTACACAGTCCCATCCAATCGTTGAGAATCTAAGCCGATCTCTCTTTGAATGGTGCAGGTATTGCGTTTCATCACGAATCGTTATCCGTAGTACGTCCGGGGTATTAGTGCGATATTCGTCACCTACGCACAGAGCTTTTCAATTTGGAAACCCAGAGTTGAGGAAGGCAAGGAACTCTGCATCTAGGGGCAGGTTCGTTGAATAATATACGAGCAAGCCTTTCTACAAGCTACTATTAGGAACGGCAAATATGCCAGATAGAAAGCGCTGTAAGGTGCAAAAGTAAGAATTATACCATAGTACTATTACGATGCCTTTTATGTACAGGACTAATTTGCGGCATTGATCACTATATTGAATAGATGGGCATCTCTTATGATTGATAGTAAAATATATCAAGAAAGATAGGCTATGCAACTTCAGCACGTCGTCATAACCCGTACAGGGGTCTTATAGCTATATAAAACTGCCTTATTAGGAACAGCCTTGTTGTATTAGTATGATTAGGCTTATGACTACGAATTAAAGAATTGAAAGGGGTAAAGTTAAATTTCCAGGGGGTTATAATTCTATATATACCATTACGTAAAATCTTGGGTGAAAATCAGTACAAGGCACTCCCTTGATATACTTAGTATATAAGAGAGGTATCTACTCGTAGGGATACATACCGAATCGGCATGTGAGAGGACCGTTATAAACATGTTTTACTATCCATCCGTGATAATACACATTGATTGAGTATTCAAATTCTCATAACGCATAGCGCGTTTCGCTTGAAAACATTTACACTACATAGCTCTCCGCGTTTAGTCAACTCGAGAATGCCACTCACCTACCACCGGTCTGGCTCAATACTGTCACACAAAAAATGGGCGTGGCCACGCCACAGCATTTTGTGTGTTGTAAACCCTTATATCCTTTGCGACAAATACATGTCCCACTTGAATGACTCGTAAATCGCAACCGACTCGGCAATCGATGCAATAGACGGCCATGACATAAATAATGACCTTGTCCCCGGTGGATTGCAAAGGCTGATCAAAAGCGACGATACTCGCCATGTTTGCTTAGACGCCTTTGTAACCACCAAGCAGCCGCAAGCCACACGCAATGCTTGATAGAGACACTGCTTGATGGAAAGGCGTCGGCTCGTCTCACACAGTACCAATCAAGCTCCGTCCTCTCTTCGCACTTGCCTGTCTACCAATACGATTTGCCCTGGACTCTATCCTATTGCGAACACGTGCTAATTCGTGCGAGTAGCCCCTTATGGACCAATCTAGTCGCCATGTATGCTTGTTTCCATCGTCACGATCGACACGGAGAACGATCGACAGGGAGACGTCTTACAATGAAGCAGAGCATGTTCCATGAATACTCCCGCCTTCTGAGCCGCCAACCAGTTCATCAAGCATGCGTCTAGCAAGTGCGCAGAATATAACTGACAAATCGCGACATTTCCCAGCGTAAAGAACATCTACAATGAGGAGTTGACAGATTTCCACAGCCAACCCAGGCATCTTCAACACGGTCACCAAACTTCGCAGGTTCAGCATCGTCATCTTGCCACACAGCCGTGTCTATCTTTCATCCCCCGCAAGCGCAGGATAGTCGGGAAAAGTAAGCTCATCGCTCTCCTCCGGGCTCAACCAGCCAAACAGCTTCTCGACACGCACCACGGAAAACACCCAAGCAACGGTCTGAAGAATCCATATCCCCCACTCCGTCTCCGGCAGCATCAGCCAGCTCAGAGAGGGCACGTTTTGCGCCTCCGTAACAAACGGCCTCACCAGCCGCTCGTACGCGCGAGCCGCGTCCCCGAAATCGAGCCGCGTGCCCTCCCCCTCGGCCTCGCGCCACCGACTGGCGACCTCTCCCGCGAGGACGTACGCGCCTACCAGGGCCGCCGTCGTGCCGAGCCCGCCGCCCATGGGTGTCGGGCAATACGCCGCGTCTCCGATCAACACCACGCCGCCGCGGGACCAGCACCCCTCCGGCAGCCTGATCTGGCTCATGTGCTGGGTGTACAGGTCGTCCGCCTCCTTGGCGTGGAGCAGGCCGTCCAGAAACCGCGGCATGGGCGGGTAGTCGCGGAACGCGTCGAACCTCTGCGCCCACGCCCTCTTCTGGTCCTCTTTGCTGGCCGACTTGTCTGCGGCGTCCAGCTCCTCGCAGTCGCCGTGTACGACAAGCGACACCCTCAGACTCTCCGGGCGGTCTTTGCGGGTCATGACCAGCCTCCGGCCAGGCAGGTGACACGCCGTCCAAGGCCTGGGGTCGTCTTTCCGCGCGGGTATCGTGAAGAATGCCGCGTGGGCGCCCATGTCGTGCCGCGGATCGGGGAACGAGGGGCCGAGCATGAGTCTGCGCGTGGGAGAGCCGACCCCGTCTGCGCCGACTACGAGATCGTACGCCTCCCTCGTTTGGTCCGAGAAGACGACCTGCACGCCGGACGAGCCCTCACGCTGGACCAGGCTCTCGACGCGCAGGCCAAAGCGGTACTTGACGCCGTCGAGGCCCCTGGTGGCGTCGTGCAGGATGCGTACAAAGTCGCCGCGCATAAACTCGTACTCGCTCGTGGCGCTTTGGTTGCCCTTGCCCGTCTTGTTTGCCGGGAAATACGCCCTCTGCCGGCCCCTTCTGTCGACAATCTGCGTGCCGGGCTCGTCGCACAGGACGGCACGCACGGCTGCCTCCATGCCCATCTTCCTCATCAGCACGATGCCCTGGCCGCGCAGGTCGACTTGCTGGCCGCTGTCGCGGAGTGCTGCGTCGCGCTCGATGATGGTCATGTCGCATCTGATGCGTGAGAGCCAGAACGCGAGAGCCGGGCCGGCGATGCCAGCTCCGACAATGAGGACCTTGGGAGGGGGCATTCTTGTTTCATGCCTTGGCTGGCGCGGTCTGGTGTTGCAAACTGGGTTGACTTACAATAGAGGTTGAATCGTCTGTATATCCTCTTGCACGGGGTTAGTCATCATGAAGCTAGCGCAGCCTGCTTCTCCAGGTGGTATGCGTGGTATGCGTGTCTCGGGACCGGTGGCAGACGTCGTGCTACCGCGGATTCTATTCGGGACCGAACGCATGTTGTCGGGTGTATTGGAAGTTTTTCGTTGACTGCGTGTCAAGCTGACTGCGTTTACAGTGGTGGGCTGGCCCCAACGACGTCGTTCTCGTCTCGTGATGCCTCCTACCAGTTGACGCTTGTCAACGCCATTCTATCTGGGGCAGCTGAAACTTCTGTCAACATTATAGTTTTCCTGTGTCGTTTGGCACGGGGGTTGGACAAGAAAAGAACAGCCACGTGTTGTAGATTTACATTAGATAGACGTATAGGGTAAGTCGACGGCGAATATCTCGGGAAACAAAGTCCAAACCATGAAAAACCTCCAGCCACGAACAACCATCAAGTCACTGCAGTCTCTACAAGAAGCCCCCAGCCATGCAAGTCACCGCTCGTCTAATAAAGTCCGTCACTTGCCTCGCGCCCGGCTGCTTCAACATGTTGAAATGGTGCGCCCCCTCCACCACGTCCACCACGACATTGTCCTTGCCAACCAGCTGATCCCAGCCGTTGGCATCCAGCGCGGCCCGCCTATGCAGCAGCCACAGCAGATTCTCCGGATCATCAGGCCAGACCTCAATTGTCCCGCCCTCATCCGTGCCGTTCCTCGCCCAGAGAGCCCAGGTGGGCAGGGGTTTTGCCTCGGCCCACGCGCGAGGCGTGTACGTGCTCAAAATGTCGGCAAACAAGACAAAGTGCGCCAGCAGCCACGCCGGTGGCTTCCTGCTGTCCGACCCAAACATCTGGAGCTTGTCCAGCTCAGAGTACAGCCTCGGCGGCAGCTTCTTGAGCCCGATGGGCTTGGGGCTGTCGAGCAGGATGAGCCCGTCCACGGCCTCTCCCTCGGCAACGAGCCGCTGCGCTGCGTCGTATGCGCAGATGCCGCCCGCCGACCAGCCGCCCACAATGTACGGCCCTGCCGGCTGACGCCTGCGCATCTCGGTGAGGTATGCGGTCGTCAGCTCTTCAAACTGGCAGGGCTTGCTGTCGCTGCGCCTGACGTAGGGGCTGCTGAGGCCGTAGACGGCCACCTTGTCCACGTCGACGTCTGGGAGCGGCAGGTACGAAGTCGCGGAGCCGGATCCGTCTGGGAATAGCCAGACTCTCCGCGAACACGTCAGCGGGTTTCCTTGTAGGAGAACGGAAGACGCTGGCGGCACGTGGGATGGCTGCGGGAGGACTGTCAGAGGAGAGACGACGCCAACTACAACAGATTAGCCACTGTGTTATTCGAATTATGAATAGGGTGCACATGCGGGGAAATGTAGACTTACACGCTGGTGCTAGCTTGTTTTTGCCATTCATGTTTGCAATATGGGGGTATTCGTCCGAGTCGATGGACAGAGCGGACAGCGCTGCTTCCACCCCCCGAGACAGATGAGTATTCTCATAATCTGGCTCTCGAGGCGGCGGCGGAGTCACAGGCGGAGTGGAAGGCTCAGAGTCCGACGATGGCGCTGACGAACCGGCTATTAGCTGGATGACCTCTCCAACCGTCTTGCAGGTGATAAAGGCCGTCGAATCCACCTTGACGTTGAGCTCCTCGAGCATCCGGTCCGAAATCGTCAGCGCGAGCAGAGAGTCGACGCCCAATCCTGCAAGTTCGGCGTCATCCTGCGCATCCGAGACCGGGGCCCCGACTTCCTCGGCGATGATGGCCTTGAGCTTGTCCGCAGGCACGTCGTATTTGTGCGGCTGCAACAGCGCAGGCGGCTCCGTTGACGGCTCTCGATCAACCGCCGGAGTCTGAGGCCCATATGGCGCCGAGGCGGCGCGGACGGGCTGTGAAGGGACGGGCTTCGACGTCTCCGACTTGGGCTTCGGGAGCACCTTGTCGAGTATATTTCTCTGCACCGCGGAAAAGGTCACCCCTTCGTAGACGGCAACGATATCCCTCGCCCCCTCGTTGAAGATGTACACATCCCCCATGTAGGAGCCCTTGTCCTTTGGCTGCATCTTGAGATATGTAGTGTACGTCACGTCTTCGGACAGCGGCTCCATGAGCTTCATGTTTTCCCAGCCGTGGTTGATATACACTTGTTTTTTCGAGTCGACCTCGTCATTGGCATTCATTGTAAACCCCGTGATTTGACCCAGACTGTCGAGCCAGTACGGCGGCGTCATCCACTTGTCGGCCGTCCCGGGCGGTGTGTTGAACTTGACTCTGGCCGAGGACTCTAGTTCTGCGGAGCGCATGACCAGTTCGCGACAGCCTTTGAACGAGGGGTGGTAGTCGACGAGAGCGCTAAACAGCTTGTAAAACATGCCCGTCTTGATCAAATGGACGGACCCCGAATCGTCGTGAATCGATCGTCGGAGATCGTCGATTCTGGCCTTTACGAGGAAGTCGCGTCGTTTGAAATCCGTCCTCCACTGGCTCTTGTCCGCAAAGAACCCGGTGCACTTTGCGTGATGTGCGGTTTCTGCTCCAGTGCTGGAGATGCTGGACATGGTGAAGGTCGCCTGTCTTGTCGACCACTTGACCGACGCCTTCATCTCGACGAGATGCGACGGGTCGTCGTTGAGCACAAGTGCCTTGTCGGCAGTCATGTTTGACACTTCGACGCCAATGTCGGACTTGTCAAAGCTCACGGCAGACTGCTCGAGGAGTCGGGTGAAGAGCGTCAATGCCATGTCCGCATATACGGCCGAGGAGCACACCGGCTGGCCGTTGACCCTGTGCGCCAAGAGCACCTCCCGGAAGTCGGGATGCTGGACGTCAGACCGTGCCGTGATCCACGCCTCGTCACTAGAGTATTGCTCGTGTATGATATCCTGCACCGATGTCGTAAACGGCTTCTGCTGGGCGGTAGGTGGAGGCAATGCCAGCGGCTGTGGTTGAGGCGGCGCATCACCCTTTGTCAAGCACCAGTCGTGGACATATGGGATCCAGTGACTCTTCAACTCCCACTTATAAAAGGGTAGACACAGCACCTGTTTGTTCTGCGTCAGGCCGCTGTGGTACTCACCCCAGTTGATAGCCAGGCCCGAGTTGTACAGGCTCGTCAAAGTCGACGTGAACACCTTCCAATCAGCCTCGCCACGCCGCAGTGTAGGAAGCGTCTTGACTGACGATGCTCCCAGAGTGGATTTGAGCATGTTGGTACAGACTGGGTGTGGCCCGACTTCTACCCAGACGGTCTTCTCAGAGATGACACCTGCCTCTGCTGCCGAAAGCAAGCAGCCGCGAAAATTAACAGTCCCTCGACAGTGGCGTGTCAAATAGTCGGCCGGAGACCCCAAATCGGCAACGTTTTTGATTGTTTTGCCCAGCAGAGGCGACAACAACGGAACGACGGGGTCCTTGAATCCAACAGAGCCACAGCTTTGTCTAAAGCTCTCCAGCATCGGCTCTACTTGGGGTGAATGAAAGGCAAATTGAACCTTGAGCAGAGTCGTTTTTATCGATTGCGCGTTGAGCACAGCTACGAACGAGTCAACTTGGTCTTTGGGGCCGGCAACCACCGTCTCCTCCGGCCCATTGACGCAAGCAATCTCCAGGCCGGGCTGAGACGACAACAACGAAGCCACCTTGTCCGCAGACGCTTTGAGGGCCAGCATTGTATGAGTTCCCATGGAGCAGTACTTGTTGAGAAGAACCGCCCTGGTGCCAACAAAGTGTATGGTATCTGCGTCGGAGAGCACCCCGGCAATATTCATGGCGGCATATTCGCCGAGGCTGTGCCCGACAAGTACTTGGGGGGAGACGCCAAGTGCCATCCAGAACTTGCCGAGGGCCATCTGCAAACACGTTATAGCCAATTGCACTTTAACGGGGGACAGTTGGTCCATCGGAGCGTCTGTTGTGCCCCAGAGCACGTCGAGTATTGAGTCAAAGCCTTGCAGCAGAACAATGTCTTCCAGTCTCGTAACCAGGGACAAAAACTGCGGGTGCGCGAGGAGCTCCCTGGCCATGGAGAGGTACTGGGAGCCTTGACCGGTGAAACAAAACCCTATAGGCGTCGTATTCCCCGCCGTGGACAGGAATTTCTCCGTGTTTGCAGCACTCGCAAGAGCCTCGCGGATGTCACGGAGACTGGAGCCCGTGACGGCGGCGCGGTAGCCGTAGTGAACACGCCGAGCCGTAGTAGTAAAAGAAAGTGAGCCAAGGGGAATATCCGGGTGGACATGGAGATGCTTTTCGAGCGCAAGAAGGTTATTCTTGAACGACGTCTGCGTCTTGGCAGACACTGCGACAATATGAAGCGGTCGAGGGTCGTCGTCCGCCATGTCCGACCTCAACGGGGCGTCTTCAACAAGCACAGACGAATTCCCGCCGGCGGCGCCGAAATTGTTGACAAACGCTATTCTGCCACGCGGTGCGTCTCTGGGATCCGGTCTCAGCCACGGGGTATCCTTCATCGCGATGTGGACGTTTCTTTGCGCAAGATCTGTAGGGAAATTCCTGTTGATTTTCGTCTTGATGCCCACGTGCCGAGGAATGGAGCTCTTTTGCATCATGAGCAACACCTTTATCAGCGAAGAGATTCCAGACGCGGATTCTCCGTGGCCAATGTTGGCTTTGACAGATCCGAGGTATAGAGCTTTCTCGCGGCGTGAGCCTTCGGGCGCAAAGACGTTCAGGACAGAGTCCATTTCACACGCGTCGCCGTGCTGTGTCCCCGTCCCATGCATCTCCACGTAGCTAACTTTGGAGCTGTCGACATTGGCAGATGTCAAAATCCGACTAAAGATGGCTCTTTGCGCGCCCGAGTGCGGTCTGGTAATGGATACTGCTTCTGCCGAGTGGTTGGTGTAGGCTCCGAGGATTGTGCCATAGATGGGATCGCCATCTAGCAGCGCGTCATCAAGCCTCTTTAGCAGAACCGTCGCCACGCTTTCTGCCCTGCAGTACCCATCGGCGCCATCATCAAACGTCTTGCAGTTGCCGGTACGTGATAGGAAGTGGGCGCGGTCGAGGCCAGCCCAGTTGTCAGGGTTGGTCAATATATTCGTTCCGCCGGCGATGGCAACGTCGCAGTCCCCGGCCCATAGGGAGTTACACGCAATATGTGTAGCAGCAAGGCCGGACGAGCAAGCCGTGTCCACATCAAAAGACGGCCCGCTGAACCGGAAGTGATAGTTTATTCGTGCGGGTAGAAAGGCACGACTGCCGCCGGGGACGTAATACGTGTCAATGTTCTGGGCGGCGTTTGTTTCTCGGTAGTCGTCACTGGCGGTTCCGTAGAAGACGCCCACTCGAGTGCGTTGCGTGGACGGCGTGGAATCGGGCACAAATCCAGCCATCTCCATGGCCTCGTACGCCGTCATCAGTGCCAGTCTCTGCGCGGGATCAGCTTGATCAGCCTCCCTGGGGGACATGCCGAAAAACCGAGAGTCGAAAAGCTCAGGTTGGCGGACAAAGCAGCCCATGGTGACGCCGCTGGTGTTCTTCTTTTTACCAGTGGAATCATAGTATAGCCAGGGATCGAAGCGGTCTTTTGGAATCTCTTTGTGAACATCTAGTCCAGCAGCGAGAAGTTCCCAAAACGCTTCGTTGCTATCAGCCTCGGGATATCTGCCGGAAAATCCAATAATGGCGATTTTTGAGTGATTGGACTTTTGTCCGGATATTGGTTTACTTTCACTCCTCAAGAGCAAAGGAGCAGTGCTCAACACGTCTACGGATCGTATTTCTTCAGAGGCCCGAAGAGCGGCCGCTAGACTCTCAACACTGCTCGAAGCGAATGGAATTACTTCTGCTTCGGAAAACTTGGAGCTTCGCAGTGTGCTGAGGGCTCTCTGAATCACACGGTCCCATCTCAGTCGACGAAGCAGGACATCAGCGACGGTGCGTTGAAGCAGCTGTTCACAAGTTGCTTCACGCGAACCGTCAACTGCCTCATCAGCATTGGAGATGACATTCAGGCGGACGGCCCTGCTTCTTGTATACACGCCGAGGCCTGAGACAAGTGCGTCCACGTCGGCGCTTGTGTACAGGCAGGAAGAGTGGAATAGTCCGGCTACTTCAATCTTCCCTGCCTTGAAGGATGGGTGCTGCAACAGAAACTCTTTCAAGTGTGCAGGCGGCCCTGAGATGGTGACGGAGCTGCTGCCAACGGCACTGATATATACGCGGCTCAGAGCAGCCAGTCCCCTCGACGCACAATACGCCTCAATACGGGGGGCTAATGTTTCTTCACCAACGCCGGCAATCACCGACGAGCACGAAAAGTGCACGTTATTGGTGTCGGACACGACGGACATGGTTCTGTTCTGCACCATGTAGCCTAGCCTGAAGGCTAGTGCCACAAACTGCGGCGCGACTTCAACGAGATCGAGCACATTCTCGGCACAGCTTACTGCAGCAGCAGCCAGAAGGCCAATGCAACTGCCTAGTAGACAGGATGATGATGGGTGGGGATAGGACCTCCCGGACTCATTCGTATATCTAAGACGTAGTGTTAGTTGAATTCTTCAAACCCGTAAAGCTAAAAATCAAACAAAACGGGAGCACATACGCTACAAACGAAGCAATGTGGCAAAGACACACAAGTGCGCTGTCCAACGCACAATTGGGCGCCTCTGACGAATGCCGAGCAATCAAGAGCTCGGCAAGATTGGAAACATGAGGAAAGCGGCTCCTCTGGCTGGGTGGCAATCTCGAGATTTCCGATCTAAGCACCCGATGTGTGTCTGAAAATAGAGAAACAAGTGTACAATCGTTCTTGTCGGAAAGCAGTCTTTGTAACTCGGTATGATACGGAATAGACAAGTCGCCAAAGACTATTACTTGACACTTGGCTGCCATTGTGTCGGCAACTGCTCGAGATGACGCGTCCCAGTGACGAATACACGATAAAGAATCAGGACAGACAAAGAGGATCAGATGGGTAAGCTTTATGCATTCGACAATGTTTTTGTTTCGAGTTGTCACGTCGGGTATGAGGTCTGACTGGTAGAACTCGACGGGTTTTACATTGCCTAGGAGCGGCCCTGCGCTCCCCTCGGGGTGCGTCTACAGTCGGATAAGCGGAATGGAATTTCAAATAGAAGCAGCTTTGGTCCTTGTTGAGAAAACGATGCAAAAGGGCGCAACTGAATTCTACAATCGCTCCCATGTTTGGTTGACTGTCTCAGCCCGGCCACCACCACGATGTACCATGAACAAGGATATTTTGGTCCTCGGTCAATCACTGTTTGCCGTCTAGTTGCCAACTCGGTGTGCTCCATAATCGGACCAATGATGAGAGCCAGTCTTCCCATATATTACATGCAAATGCAGTCATACCGATAAGTGAGTAATATATTCATGCACTCATGTATAAAGTGCAGAAACGGCGGATGCGGCTGATTTATCGAGTTATCGTTATCACATAGCCGTCGTTGTCAGGTGAACTCGTGAGACCGGTGACGATGTGATGACAGTGACACAATCACCGTAGCCGTGATCTGAATCTGGTCGCCTCGGGTTGTCTTGGATGTCGTGTTGCCATGCTGTCATCTTGCAGATCCTATCGAACACCTGGTTGATCATGTGTAACACTGGCGTCCGCCAATCCAGCGCAGAGCCACAGAAACTATGGCTAGGTACGGAATACTCTGGGCCGTTGTTACACTCGGTCAACATCCAGCAGCGGCTAGATGGCACTTCTAGATCATAAAAAGCAAGCCTTGTCTGATCACCGTGCGGAAACGATGTACCTTGAAGATGCTGTTTATAGTCTCACCCTACCCAGCCTATCTCTTACCATTTGGCGCGTAGCCTGCTTTTCCTTTCCCGTTATCTTGGGCCGTCATATTCCTAAACTCCAATCATTTCGCGCGTCCATCAGTTCAGTCGGCCTCCCGCAAGGGAGCTGAGCGCCATCGTAAGGCCAGGCGAGCCTGCACATCCAACCACGAGAATGCCTTGTCAAGGACCAACGGAACATGCGGTCATTGGTTCCTGATCTCGGGAGCTGTGAGCGAGTATAGCCCCCGTGGTCAAAGTAAGGGCCACAGCAACGTGCCATACGTGGGGGCCAGTTATAAGACAATCACGGCGCCACGGGTTGGGGTTCGATATAGTAGTTACTAAACAGAGATTTAGCAAGAGGTAATCAAAAGCTAGTAGCTGCCATTGGCAGATACGAGTGATACTTGAAACATACTGAATAAAAAATAAGACAGATAGTGTTCTCCCAACTACATGGAATACCAAGCATCAAAGTCCACCACCTGGAAGACCTAGGGCTTAGATCGTCTGGTAATAGTCGGCCTAGCCTCATCTCATGTCTGAAACATCAACGGGATGATGGGTGGAAGCTTGGCTGTGTCCCGGCCCGAAAATTCTCTTGCATACTGCAATCTTACTTGTGTTGCACAAGTCGGGCGAAGAAGCGTGTCAGCAAAATGGACTAGTTTCACTGCCTTGCATGCAGCACAATGCAGGAAAAGCCCTCAAATGACGTACAAGAGAAGCATGTCCGAGCCAGTAAAGATCATACTGAATGTTCCTCAAATCGGATGACAGGCCGCATTTACAAAAGACCCCGAGTCATTGCTTCGGAGGTGGCTATCTCTGTGTCCTACTTGAACCCTCAACTGCAGTTATTCTGACTTATCGGCGTATCAAAATTACCCCTCAGGTCGCGTCATTCTTCTTTTCAATCTTACCTACCTAGCCACTTTCCAACCTGTCATCTCTGTCATCTCGGAACTCATGCTTTGGACTGAAAATGGAATCCAACAACAAACTGCTTTGCCTCCATATCCTCGGCTTCAAGAAGCAGGGGATAAGCGCAGAAGAGTACCGCAGCTACATGCTCAATGTCCATGCGCCATTGGTTGCCCAGCTAATGGAGAAGTACGGCTTTCTTCATTGGAGCATGGTTTGTCGCCCTTGCTCACCAGAGATATTCCATCTGATGATATGTCGTGTTGGGCGTGGTGGCTGACATTGCACCCTCTAGACGCACACTCCGGAGGAGTCCCGTCAGCTTATGGGCCAGCTCCATGATGCACAGTTCTCTAATATTGCTCCGTATGACTGCTGTGTGCAGCTAGTATTTCCTAGTATTGAATGTTTTGTTAGGATGAAGGCCGATCCGTTCTTCAAACAGATTGTGGGGCCGGATCATGAGAAGTTTGCAGACACCAAGAGATCACAGATGATGATAGGGTGGTTTTCGCCGCTAATGATGAATGGAAAGTTGGTCCATAGCAAGATGTGAGACGAGGTGAACCCGGCTCATGTCTATTTTCAAGGTTGAATACAGCCCCCATTACGCATTATCGGTGAATTTGGTGTACAAGACTGGGCATATCGAACCAAGGATACCACATAACTAGACCTCTGCTCCATTTCAATCTATATAGTACGGTTGTACAGTGAAGAAATAACAAGAAAAAAAAACTGAACAGGAGAAGTGAAGAGATGTGGACAAATGGACTAAGAGGCGATTTTCGTGAATACATCTTTATCAATATTATTGGAGAATACCGAGTCCCGTGGCTCCCTTCCAGGATATGAGTAAAAGCAGAAAGATTAGGAAACCAGTCGGGGAATGAACAGAGACAATGTGTTACTGAAATCTCCCGGCGGGTTAATGCACTGGCTCGACATTCTTGACGCTGTTCCACTGGACCAAGAAGGCGCTCAGCATTGCTACAGCTCCAGTCCCAACGGCAACGTAGAACGTCGACGTGATGGAGCGATTGTATGCTTCAAGCAGCTTCAATAAGTCTTCTCCGTTATGAACAAGGTTCCTTATCTCAGTTGCACCCGTCATCAGGACGGTTTCTGGATCAAGTCCCGGGATGGAAGCTTGCCTTAGAAGCTTGAGGAAAACCTGATTGAACACGTTCTGACCAACGCAAATGAAGATTGAGCCACCGAGTTGCATTCCAAAAAAGATGAGGGAGATTGCCGACGGAACATCCTCCTTCTTGAGAACGGTCTGAACGGCAAGAGATGCCTGCTGTGTTCCAAATCCGAGGCCCAGACCCATCATGACCTGATAGCCAATCCAGTGGGCCGAGCTTTCGTTAATGGCGAGCGTTGAGAGCATTCCGGCACCGACAGATATCAGGATAGCACTGACCATCATGATTGGTGGTGGGTATCCCACAAGACGTGCGGATCCGCCGCCCATGATTGCTCCAACGGCCTGTGACAAAACGAGAGCGATGGTTCTGATACCTGCTTGAGCGGCACTGAGATTCTGGACGGCTTGAAACCAGTCGGCTATCCAATATGTGACGACCAACATGGCACCACCTGTAGCTGCGGAGAAGACGAAGGATGCGAAGACGGTACGCTGACCAGCGACATGGGGAGGCACAGTGGCTGTCTCAGGCATAGCAATTTGTGAGGCCATGAACGCGAGGGATAAAAGGCCACCAAATACAAAGAGGACAATGATGCGCCAATTGTTCCAGCTGTATTCGGATCCAGCCCATTGGAAGGCAAGAACCAGACACACGACAGCTGGCAAAAGTAGGGCTGAGCCCAGGGGATCAAGCAGCCGGATCTTCTCAGCCCATCCTCGGGCCTGCTGGTCCTTGCCCTCTCTGGATTTTACAAAGAAGAAGAGGATGGCGATGATTGTGAATCCGATAGGGATGTTGATGATGAAGCACCAACGCCAGCTGGTGTTGGTAGTTAGAGCACCGCCTATCAGAGGTCCAACAATGGCCGAGATACTCATTGTCGCCATCAGAATTCCGAGACATATCGGTTGCCGTCGGAGGGGACAATTCTCAGTGACAATTATCGTGGATCCCGAAAGCACGCCACCGAGGCCGATGCCTTGTATAGCACGGCCAATAATGACTGTATTCGAGTTCATGGCCCCAGCCCCCACAGCCGAGCCGACAATGAAGATGAAGACGAGCGTCATGTATACCCACTTGGGTGAGTAGAATTTGTAGAATCGGCCCAGCGGTAGCTGCATGGCACAGCCCGTCAAGCTGTATGCGCTGCCATACCAGCCAATGTCTGTCGGGGAGTGGAATTGATCCGTAATGGTGGGTGCTGCGGTCGAGATGATGGTACGATCCTTTCAGCTACCTGTCAGCCTCGTAACATCTTATCGAAAGTTGAGGTCAGAGCATGGGACCATGGCATTGCATCGAGGATGAGCTTTGCATGGAGTGCGGAAGAGTGGCTTCTAACAGGCGGCCACAGCCTACTCACCAAGGAGACTAGAAACATGCCCATGGACACGGCTACCATGATGATGGTCAGGGCCCCGAGGCCGGGGTAGTTGGACTCATCTTGGGCGGCTTCCTCTCCAGCTTCTTCTTGGATAATGCCGTCTTGGCTGGGCTTCCCACCAACAGAATTTCCGTCATTGGCCGCACCGTGGCCTTGAACAGAATCAGATTTCCGATGTGCGTCGTCGGGCTGCTGGAGCGTGTTGAGTTCGTGAGGCAGTTCGTCCTGGGTAGGGCTAGGCTTTTCCTTGGGGGCTGCATCCATTTCGAGGTGTTTGTGATAGTGGGCGAACACTCGCAATGATGAGTGAGTGAGTCGCAGGGTACAGGAAGGGACACAGATAGAGGGAGACGGGGAGGGAAGGAGGAAGAGGGACAAGAATGACGGTGACTGAAGAGCTCGTATTTCAGCTGCTGCACAGTCTGTGGGATGGCTGCCTCCTCTGTTGTTTGCTGGGGATGCGAAGAAGGAAATGAAACAAACTTCTAAAGACGGCCATATGAGGCGACAGGCTGACTCCAGATTGCAGGAGGGGAGAAGGACGCAAGCTTTTCTCTTGTTGTCTGTGCAAGATTGCGAGTGTTGGTCGTTTGAAGGGCACAGACGGCCTATCAGATGTCGGGTGTCAATCAGGTGGCTCGCGTCAATTCTGCCTCTGTGCCACCCGTTGACCACCCGTTGACCACCCGTTGACCTCAGGATATCATGCACGTGCCCAGGTACGTAGGTACCCAGCTCGAGGTACATCCAAGTGCCTGCATGTCCAGGAAGCGCAGTTGAGTACCCCGCGCTCGGCATCCCGTACTTGGTACTTGCCACAGACCAACAGGGCAAGACAGGAGGCGGCGTTGGTGTGGCCGAACAAATGGTCAAAAAATGGCAATGCTCATCAGCCGTGCTTGATTTCGAAATGACGCGCACCATGCAAGGCATTGCCTCCCATCAATACCATGCTCGCGTACGCGACTGCCCATCAACTAATTTACAGCCAAATTGATCAGACGAAACGGCAGTCGAAATAACCATCAGGCTGACCCCACGAGCATCAATGATGGTTCCCCTCGGTTCTCGCTCCGCACCCCTGTGCCTGTCTTGCAAGGTTCAATGTTTGGCAGGCGGGGCGCCATGTAGTACCCGGGTATCTAGGTGGTCTTGGCCGAACCAGGTTTAGTCAATGCTTTTTACTTGTGCAACGTCGGGTCCGCGACTTCGGGCCCGAAGCCACAAGCCCACGAACCCGTCGGGTAGACAATGACGCTCTCGGTCCCAAACATCCGCCCATGTTCCGACGACACGCCAACCCCCTGTCAATCCACCCCGTGTGCAGAATTCAGGATTCGATATTGCAAAATCCTTGTTGACATATGCTTACTTGTTTTATTTGAAATTTATTTCTTCTATTTTTCAGCCCGGTGTAAGATGCCGCATCCGACGCAGCCACGGCCCGGCTGTGCGGCTCTCCGCAGACAATGCAATGTCAGGCCAACTCGTCGTACCTATCGTGGTATTTTGCAAGTCTAGACCCTAACTTATATCAGAGCCATCTCTACTCACTGACTATGACACGGTAGAAAAGTTTCAGGGTACGTAAATAAGAATTCCGACAAATACAATGGCTCCAGCCAAGCAAGTGTCAAGGTCCGAATTAAAATCGAGGGACTTTGTCCCACGAGGAAACAAGTCTTCATCTCCCTTCAATACCACCCTGTACCTGAGTCTGCGTGCCGTGGACTGCTACTGGCAATACCTTGTCCTCTCCCAAGCCTATGGATCGGGGCTCATCAAATTGCTTGGCGGCAGCATAATTCCCACGCCAGAGCCGTACCATGCAGGCACTCCACAGCTTGATGCCCTCGGCCTGTCTGGGTACAGACTTGCATTGCTTGCCATGAACGTCATTGCCGCAGTCAAGCATTTCTGGTTTGTGCTCAATGTCGCCGAGGAGGCCTGGACCCTCACAGGCGCCATCGTCGTCGGGCTTGACAACATTCTTTTCGACACGCTCAACAATCTTCTCTTTCTCTGTGCTGCCACTTCGGCAACCTCCCAGACCGCGGGAGAGAGTACGTCGAATCCCTACCTGTTCGCCGGCTTGGCTCTCTTCATGATTGGCATTGCTACCGAGTGCACGTGCGAAGTCAACCGTGGGCGGTTCAAGCTCAACCCCCAGAATAGCGGCAAGCCATACACAACTGGACTATTCGCAGTCGTAAGACACCCGAACTACACCGCCTTTACCATTTGGCGAGCCGGACTGGCAGTGGCAACGAGCGGCGTAACATACGGCATTTTGATTGCCACTTTCTTCATGTGGGACTTTTCCAACCGGGCTGTTCCAGCGCTGGACGAGTACTGCTCCAAGAGGGTAAGTCGAATCACCCAATCATGCGTTTCGCCTGCGGGCACTGACCATGGATAGTATGGGGATATGTGGGCCGATTATAAACAGAAAACGCGCTGGACCTTGATCCGGTATATACTCTAACAACCATCGTGAGTGGGGAGTCGGGCGAAATACGTATTAGTACTTGAACGGGCAAGTGGGATATATGAATAAGAAGCACATAGATAGATTCAACTCTATTTTGCGTCCAATCGCTCCAAAAAAAAAAAAAAAATTTTTTTCGCATGCAAAAATCGTTGCCAAAGATTCCAAGCCCAGACACGTCCTATTCAGTACCTAGTGCTAGCCTCGATTAATCTGTATAAGCCACGAGCAGTTGCGGATCCGGCTTCTCGATCCCCTCTGCTTCTGTCCAAAGTACATCGCTGAACCCCGAAGCCTGGAGGTTCGTCTTCCACGAGGTCCCGTTAACCGTACAGTGTTTTCTACCATCCTCAAAGAGCCACCACCCATCCAGTAATCCAAACACAAGGTCAAGCCAATAGAACCTAGTAGTGAACTCGATCAAGGCAAAGAACCCTCCTGGTCGCAGGAGCGCATGCACATTTGAGCACGATGTAAGCAGACTCTTGGTCGCGTGGATGCAGTTGGTCGAAATGACCAAGTCAAAGCGCCGCTGCAATGGCTCCGGGGGCTCTTTCTCAATATCCAGGATGAGGCATTCAATGGAACCAGGTGCAATATTCGAAAATCGGCGCTTTGCAGCGGCAAAAAATGACGAAGATATATCAGTGAAGACGTATTTGAAAGGGACGTTGGCCTCAGCAAGCGCATCGATGACAAATTTCGTTGTCCCTCCCATACCGGCACCTACTTCCAAAATTTCGATGCATCCGTTGTCTCCATGCGCTCGGGGACCGTAAACACGTTTGATAAGCGCGGCGAGATGTAGCGAGGCTGCCAAACACATGGGAGCGTCGGTGTAGAAATGTTGCAACAAGTCCTTGTGTTTCCCAAACAGGAGCTTGATGGGGTCCGTCTTTCCGCTCAGGCATTCCGCAAACCGCGAGCCCGTAACATGAACAAGTTCGTGGACCTTGGCGAACAGGGGGTGATCCCGGACGAGGTCATTGTAAATTTCTTCAGATGGCGTTGTGTCTATCGGGGTGGACGTACGGATGTAGCCGGCCGCAGTTTCGCTTACGATGCCACCATCCTTGAGAATCTCGAATAGTGCACCGTCAAATACTCGACGATGCTTGTCTAGAATTCCCTGGGGACGTGGAACTATTTTGCCAGCCTGAACATTATCAAGAGCGCACCCCAAGTCGGAGAAAGTTTTGTACACAAAGGATAGCACCAGCCGGCGCTCGGCAGGGTACACTGCCGTCCAAAAATTGGCGAAGCCTGCTTCTTCTGCAAATTGCCTTTCATGTTTGCTCAGCTCTAAAAACACGTCTTTGACATGTTGTCCGGCTTGCGACGAGAGCTGTTCAGTGGCAGAGGTCGATCCTGATTCTTGTAAGCTCATGTCCTCTTCTTGCAATGCAAAATAACGCAGCTCGGTACATAAATCGGACTTGGAATCACGAACCGCCGATACCTTGGTTCTGGCCCAGACGCTTGGCAATATCGGATAATGTCTTACAGTCGCGAAACAGGGAAGCTGGAAGCTCGATACCAGTTCTATTGGTCACAATATTGAGCACATTAATGGCGGCCAGAGGATCAAGGCCAAGATCTGAGAAGTCGGTGTTGATGTCAGAGTGCCCTATATCACACCCTGTCTCTATGACAATGGCATCTCGGAATACCTCCGTCACTTCCATTTGAGATAGTTGATGGTTGATCATTGTAGGTGTGTCAGGTGTGTCATGAGCGTCGTGGGAATCGCAGAGAGTTGCAGGTTTCTCCATCCCCACGTCACCTACAAATTTAGCATTACGGTCTATCAGCTCGGGACCGAGCTATTTACACCGATTCCGTAGTTCGCAACTGCCCATTGTCTACCTGCTACAAGCCGTGCCCAGCCCAGGATCTTCCCAGGCGCGGCATGACACAGAGCTGACCACCCCCTACAAGCCAGACACGGAACAAGAATCCGAGTGAAAGCTGCGGTCACTCATGCAGCTGGGCAGCACGAGTACAATTTCCGGTCTTTGGTGGCTGAGGCAGTACTGCAGTAATGTACGTTTGACAAAACCTAAGCCCTCGTACTCCATATTCTGACCCCCAAACCCATGAACAGACCAAGTTAGCCACTACGTGCATGCAGATAGTGCACCGACGCCACGTATGTTGTCATCTACACCTGTAGATGACGGAGCAAATAGGAAAGCACGATCATGCCATTCCTTTTTTTGCTGAGACATACATGTGCAGCGGGAGGCAATCAGCATTTGACCACCATTATGTATGATAAGGTGGCTGAGAGTCGATATGCGCTGTAACCATGACCGGCCGCATATGTGCCGAGACAAGGGCCTTTACAAGTGTAATATTGCCTGCAAGTTCCCCATTGTGTTTCAGTTTAGCCAGAGGTGTTGCCTCACCGAGCTAGCCACGCCGAATCAGTTCAGAGAACGTGGACAACTGGAACCATTCTCTTCCCCAGCTCAACGTCAAACCACTCATGTCGTTCATTTTCTCACAAATACCTTATCAATCCTCTAATCCGAAAAAAAAAAAAGATATACCTTTCGAACCCCCAATAGCTAGAGGTGTCCTATTAGTCTGCGAAACTCCTGCCGCCCAACATGTCGTCGCTCAAACGATGCATATTACTTTGTTGCCTTTGGTGCCTCTCTTCCTGGGCAGCAAAGGTTGAAAAGACGCTACGGTTTACCTGGGAGAAGGGTGCGCCTAATGGCCAATCGCGAGACATGATCTTTACGAATGGGCAATTTCCCGGCCCCAGCCTCCTGTTCGATGAGGACGACGATGTCGAAGTAAGCGTACAAATAAAGTTTCAAAAACCAGTGTATCTAATAGATGGTCTCAGATTACAGTTCACAATGACATGAATCGAAACGTGACCGTTCACTGGCATGGCCTTGCGTGAGTCGACTCACCCTCCATGTCCACAGCGAAGCTTGAGCGCCTAATATGTTGACGTTAATATAGTCAAGAAGGCACACCCTGGGCTGACGGCGTGATGGGGCTGTCACAAAAGCCCATCTTGCCAGGAGAGTCTTTTGTGTACAAGTTCAAAGCCTCACCGGCCGGAACACACTGGTACCATTCTCACGAGCGCATGTCTCTTATCGACGGCCTTCATGGTGCCATGTTCATAAGGCAAGCAAGCTGGTCTTCGAATTCCATACCGAGAGTCGCTAATGAATAATGGCAAGACCAAAGCAAAACATGAGAGAATTATGGTCCAAGATTAGCCAGGATCCAGAGGATATCGAAGCAATGGACAAGGCAGCGGCCAATCCACAGCTAATGGTGTTGTCGGACTGGACTCGTCTCACATCTGACGAGTATTGGAGAGTGATTGAAGAGTCCAAGATATTAATATTGTGAGTGCTCTTTCGATCCAATACAGTAGTTTTGTGCTGATGTGATACCACCTCTTAGCTGCGTTGATAGTATTTTATTGAATGGCCACGGGGAGCTGTACTGCCCACCTCACGAATTCCTCATCAGTCAAACACAGCCGATGCCACAGAAGTTTACTTTTCCAGATTACAACGTAACAGATAAAGGGTGCGTCTCTAGGCAACTCTATATATACCACACCAGTTGATGGTCGCTGACAACCCGCGGTCGCCTACAGGTGTTTCCCTATACAAGCAGAGGGCATTCAGGGTCCCTGGGTCAACGAAAGCCACCCCGAAAAAGTACCAGATCACATGCAATGGGGTTGTGTACCTTCAAAAGGGTCAAATTATACAGTCGAAGTCGATGCGGCGGACCGCTGGGTCAGCATGAACTTCGTTGCGGCGGCGGCGAATAAGCAAGTCGACTTCTCCATCGACGAGCACCCCATGTGGATTTACGAAGTCGACGGCAACTACGTCGAGCCTAAAAAGATTGTGGCAGCGGCCATTACTGCCGGCGAGCGCTATTCTGTGCTGGTCAAGTTGGACAAGCCCCCTGGCCGCTACACCATTCGACTGCCAGACACTGGGGCAACGCAGGTGATTTCAGGCTTTGCAAACATGGTGTACAAAGGTGCGGAAGAGGTAGTACCGGACACTCACCCTTACGTTACGTACGGGGGGCTGAATGCGCGAGAGGAGACTGCGACGCAAAGCTACACGCCATATAATATCACCTCGGACAACATGCCACCATGGCCCGCGAATGCTCCAGCTGCTACGGCTGACGAGGAGTTTCTTCTCGTCATGGGCCGGGCTGGAGCACCGCATCTTTACACCATGAACACAAAGTACATGTACCCTGTTGACTTCAAAGCCGACCGCCCGCTGCTTTTCTATCCGAACCAGACCCTAGGAACTGAAGACGAGAATCTCGTCGTGCGTACTAAGAACGGCTCCTGGGTAGATTTGATTCTCCAGGTTGCCGTTTTGCCCGGCGACGGCGTGGCGTTCGAGCACATCATGCACAAACACGGCAGCAAGACGTGGAGAATAGGAAACGGAGCCGGTAAGTGGAAATACAGCAGTGTTGCTGAAGCTATTGCGGCCGAGCCGGAGAGCTTCAATCTCAAAGACCCAGGGTACAGAGATACCTGGATGACAATGTTTTCTCCCGTCCCAGCTGGTGGGTATTGGAGTGTCTTTCGCTACCAGGTCACAAACCCGGGCCCTTGGCTCTTCCATTGTCATTTCGAGTTGCACGCCATGGGAGGCATGTCCATCGCACTGCTGGACGGAGTCGATGTCTGGCCAGAGGTGCCAGCCGAGTATGCTATTGAGGAGAGCCGTCCGCTTACTGTGACATCAAACAAGGCGCAGAAGCCTCTGTATGTCAAGATTTGGGATTATGTAAAGGGGGTATTGGGATTCCTCCCTATTACAGATGAATTGCGCCGCTGAGACGGTTCTGCTTCGACTTTTAGCAGGTGTTAACACATAGATTGTATACAAGACATTGTTCGGAGCTAGTACTAGTTATACGCATTAAAAGGTAGTCTAATAACCCCTAAAGAAAATATTTAATGCCCCCTGAGCCATTATTATTTTCTGTGGTCAAGTAGTCGCCATTTGGGCTGAGTTATAACGTCTCGACCACGGAAAATTGCGGGTAATTGGATAGAGTCCCCGAGGTTTTGAAATATGCAACCATCAGGTGCAAAACGTAAAGCACCTGAATCTGGGATATAGTTGTGTATCTCGATCACCCTTTGGCTTCCCTGGCACAATAGGCGGTGAGGCACCTCTATCAGATGGAGAGTTCGAAAAAGATAGCTCTACCTATTATATTAGAGCGTTTATAGGTGAGGACGTGGAAAAAGGAGTAGTACTTCAATGGTAGTTTCTATAGTGAAAAGGGAAAAGTGAGTGCATTAAAGGACTTCTTCCCTAGCACCAGAGCCAAGATGGGCGCGACGATACAAGCCATTTAAAAATTTCTAGTCAGACTGCCTTGAGTAAATGAACAACAATATGTAGCTAATAAGATGTGCTATATAGTCAAAGTCCCCGAAGATCTTGGCATCGATATCAATTCCCTTAGATTCATACACATCGGACTTGACCAGTTCAGAGCTTTGGGCGTAGCCTACAACAGCTCTAAACCAGTGCTTCTAGGCCCTAGTGCAACACAAGTTGCCATCCAAAAAGTTACATATGTACCATTCGATTAATACAGTAAAAAGCTGGGTCATCCACTAAACGCTAGTACAAGGCAGATTCACGAACAACGCGCCGCTTCCAAACAATATAGAGCCACGACCTAGCCACGACCATTAATAGGCGACACAAACGCCAAAGCTCTTATAGGAGACGGTATCAGTATCGTAAACGCCAACGATTTCAAACCCGGCATTATTTCAATAATCACAAGGAACAGTGAGACTACCATAGGTCGCGTCCGTGGTAACTAAGCCTGGTGATACCGTCCAACGGACAAGTTGAAGTCCCAGGAGGACCCCAACCTGGGATTCCACCCGGGGGGGTAGCGGCATTACTTGTGAAAAGGTCAAGCTTCCCGCTGTCAGCAAACGTCAAGGATGGATCATCAAGATCAAAGTAAATCAAGCAAGTATTTAATGGACCACCACTGGGGTCATTGAAGGTCATGAGTGTGGTCTTATCCTAGCCTCCGTCGGCCGGAGATTTATTGACCAAGGCGGCGGCCGAGGGGGTAATGTCGCCGGTGCCAATGTTGTAGATAAAGAGACTGGATGGGGGGCAGCTTTGGCGAAGCCAGAGCCGGGAGGGGGAGTACAGGCTCAGGCAGATGTAGCGAGGGATAAGCCCGAGAAGTGACCTGGTGAGCATTTTAGTATAATATGAACGTGACAAAGTTGATATCCGTTAGGTTGGCAAAGATGAGCGAACAGTGAGGTAAAACCCCTAGTGAGAGTACACTCAACTCATATAACTATTACTAAAAGTAAAACTAGATAAATACATGATATGTAAAATAAGTGTCGGGCTATATTCTCCCCTGTCCTACTATGAATATAATATCATTGAATACGAGTACCAAGAATTACATTTACTCTTGGCCATTCTTCTAAACTTATGTTGCCTGACAGCTACTTAGTAAACTTGTAGCTGCTAAGCCCAGGAGCAAGCATCAACCAATAGACCAGGAGTGTATAGTTGCCTTTATTCCCCAACGCCTGTAAGTGCTAAAAGAATGATGTGGCTGGAAATAATAGTTCAGTTGACACCTTCAAAGACAATAATGGACTGTGGCTTTAGGCGAATACAGCAAGGATTGGTGCTCCAAGAGAGAGCGCGGCAAACCCGGCACAATTTCGTCGTTTGACCTTGTGATGAATCGTGATTGTGGGGGTTGGTGGTATCTTTTGGGATATAGTCTGGTATGTGGTCGCTTGCCGCTTTCAACCATATGATACGGCACTTACCGCAGTTATCAGCGTGGCAACACGCTCGGGATATTCTACGTCAGGGTGCCTGTAACCGCCTCACCGCGTGTACTGGTCCGGCCGGGTCTTTCAAGTGCAACGTTCACGAGTACTGGCCCACCGCAAATGTGCCTCCAGAATTTATGGAGTAGTGGTCTCATTTTTTGGAAGTTTCACCCGACAATTTGCGGAGCGCCGGTGCGGACCACGCCGGGCCCCTGGCGGCCCATAGCACGGCGCTTGTATTGACTCAGTGCTATTTTAATAGTTCTGATGTGGTAACTTCCTACGCGCGCGGCCCCTGGTTTTGTGACAGCATATATCACAAAGAGGTCCTAAGTTATCACTAGCTGTCAAAAGTCTGATGTGTTGAATAAAAAGTCTAAAGAGCTGTCTTACCATACCTGATGAGCCATGGGACACATGCAGTCAACAGAAAACCCCTTGGGGCACTAAGGTATCCAGTAGCTGGGTAGTTATGGGCAGCGAGGAAACACGGCGCTTACCGTGAACATGGTTTACTATAGCTACCTTGACATTATTAACTGACTCAACATGGCCACCAAAAAGAAATCACCACGCCATACCCATACTATGAGTATATTATAGGCCATAGAAGCTAGCCGCTAAGCGAATCTTAGGCGTGGTGACATAAAATCGCTCTGTACCCCGTAACTCACTTTCCCAAACCCCTTTTCTAACCAACACAATACACCAAAACCAACGGATTCAAACTGACGAAGCGGAATCAATCAACTTAACCTTGCCATGTCGGAGAGGAGCAAACTCCGACTCAACAAATTAAATTCCCATCTCGCACCTCCATGCCCTTGTGGCGACCATGTGGCCGATGCCGGGTATACCCAAACCGCCATCTACAAATCCTCCAACCCTAGTAACCTAGGGGGTACGGCTCGTCCGAACAGAATGCATAGGACAGACCGGCCAACGTAGAAGAGGGGTGCATAGCCCAGGCGCCTGGTAAGCGCACCGGCCCCTCAGACTAACGTGACTGAGACATGATCAGTTGGAACGACTGCCAGAGGATTGAAGCGAAGCGCTGGCTGGAACAGTCTAGTGGGCACCAATATTCACGGAACTCGGACGCCACCGACGAGCCCAAATGCATGGTTTCTTATTTCCTTACGCCCAGGGATTCGGGTCGGACACGAGTTGGGTACGCTGCCCAACGCCTCACCACCGTTGCCGGTGAGCTCACGAAGCGGGCTGGCCAGCCTCACGGCCCTGTTCTCTTATACACTTGGCTCGTTCTCCTCTCTTTGACCTTGTTCCCGGCAGTATCGGCTCAGCTCAACTTCACTCCTCAACCGTCGCCATTGACTCTGGCCCACAATTGTCTGGGCAACTTGGTGGCATCCTTCACAGATGCTACGCCAGAGTATTTTGCCAATAGAGCTGTCAACCGCATCTCCCAGCTCCCGTACGAGTTTGGCGGCTCTGACGCTTTTGCCACCTTTGTGTCTTCTATTCCGTCCAACAAGCAAGTTCTGGTCGACTTGGCCGTAGAGTCCGGACCAGAGTGTAACCACGTCGCGTTGCTTGATGGATACTGGCCAATTACAAGTTGGTTGAGGCGCTCGACGCTCCGCTACTCTGTCGTTCGTTGCCAGGTTAAGACACGGGCAATGTCTCTCCGCCAATTCTTACTCGACAACGACTTGCAAGATGTAGAGTTCCATGCTTCCGGTGGCCCTCCATCTTCTGGTCGCTCACACGCCTCCGCTCAGTAGCGTGAAAGTATTACGTACCGTCTTCGCCCGGCATTGCCTTCGGCCAACATGTCAGCTTTTGCGCAGGACGACTGGGACAAGTGGTTTGTACTTGCTGAATCGGCAGCCCGCGGCTTTATCAACGGTTCAACTGCCAGTCCCTATGTTTCGCCAACGTAGGCCATCACCAGACCCTCGAATGAGCTTCAGGCCCTCCCGTCGAGTAAAGACCTTCATCCACGAAATCGGCAGACATTTGCAATAACAAGTTCAGGTACAATTCGGCTGTGGAAAGTAGTGTGGTTATGAGTTTATACTGTTTTTTCTATTCTTGTTGATTACTTTCTTTTTTCAAACCACCTTCTTGGGGTAGTTACTAGGTACTAGAATTGGGGTTAAAGAATTGGCAGAAATTTAGTAAGCTAGCTAGAATGCAATTGATAGCTTGTTTTATGCGAAGTCCTAAGACATTTTATATTGGCGGCCTACTAATTCAAGTCAAGCACTCTTTTTATATATGTTTTGTGCGTTGAATTCGAAATTCTAATTTCCTGCCGAGGCTGTGACAACATCGACCTTTTTTCGTCTATCTGCAGTGGCCACTTCGATTCATGACAGCCTAGCTGGTAGAACACATAGGTGGGATTGAGAACATGAGCACGTTCGTTCAGAGACAAGACTCCTGATGACCTACTCCCGATCTCGGGTTGAGGATGGACCATTCGCATCAAAATTTTCCAATCGTCTTCATTGCGTGCCAACTTAGCAATCTCTGTCTGCCTGGAGCGCAGGATAGTGTGAAGAGGAAACTCAATTAATACACTTGCGTGCTAGGAACCACGAATGGTGAGATCGGAGTTATAGATGACTAAATCCAGTAGGCTGTACTCATTTTCTTCTCGTACCAGACGTTAAAGGAAATGTTTCATCCGCCAAATCGTAGCGCATCTTTGCTGTCCACCCTGTACACCGTGTCACACTGGTACCACAACATCATGGCGCCGGCAGACCCTCGAGCCCAATGATAGTTACACAAGGGCCCAAAACCCAGTTGGCGGCCTTAGGCATCTGCGGTCTCGGACTCGATCCTCACCGCTGTTTTGTATAAATAAGGCCTTTCTCTCCCCAAGGACCTTGAGAAATTAAGAAAGTTTGATATCAAAGGGAGCTGTTATTACAGCCCCCCGGACTTCAAAATAGTGAGAAAAGACCCAACTGAGCTCCCCAGGGCTTTTGGCCAAGCCGCACCAACCGATATTACCCGATTTAATATGCAAACGAGCCATGCCCGGGAAGCCATTCGTTTACGGGCCCGAAACCTCAAAGGAACTGATCGACGAGACCAAGAAGCCATCCAATAATATTGCCAAGTGGTCTGTAATGAGTACCACCAAAAACAACGAAGATTGTTGGGCTGCGATTGAACATTTGCAAGCTGGTCACGCTCAACTAGCGGAGGCCATGGCACGAGCCAGAGCCGCTCTGTCTATTCTCCAAGAGGAGTTTCGCAAACTCAAGGGAGACCTTCAGACCTTGACCGACAATCACAGCGAGCAGAGAATTCTACTTCCAGCTCGCCAGTACGTCACCGATGACCTCGACGCGCATGCCGAGAGCCAGCTACGGGAGTTTCTTTCCCTTATTGAGTCAGCGGTGAGGGAAGCTATGAAGCAGACAAGGGCGGGGAAGTCGGTCAACATCGATGACATCCTCAACAAGCTAGGCCACCGAGATGCATCATCCCACCCGGAATTCTCTGTTCGGCCCATACGCAACCCGCCAACTTACGATGGAAATGATGTCAGCAAGTTCCGCCCGTGGTGGTCAAGAGTCACGGCATTCATGCATCGTTATGCTGAAAGCTTCCCATCAGATAAGTTTAAGATTGCCTGGCTGGGTTCTCTACTATCGGATAAGGCCCGGATGTGGCATGATCACCGAAAGAAACAGGTCGATCGGCTGGGAGGAAGGGACTCTTGGGATTCCTACTCAGCGGCCCTGCAGGCACGATGTAAAGACATCAACGAGGCGTCAAGGAACTACGAGCGGATGAAGGAGCTTCAGTACCAGGGAGACACGGAGGATTACCTCGCCAAGCTTCTAGACCTTAACGACTTAGTGTGTTGGTCAGGATTCTCGCTAAGGATGCATATAATGCAAACGCTGCCTGACGAGATCACCCGTTTAGTGTATACGAGACGGGGCAAGCTGCCCGAGACCGATGAAGATTTTCTAAACGCGATATCAGAAGCCGGTCGAATATACGAGACGATGCTGTCCCATCTTAGCCTCACGGGTAATCATCCAGGCGTAACTGGAGAAAAGGCACGCCGACTACGTCGTCGGCGCGCTCGAAGACGGACTCTCCGAAAGACTAACAAATGAAGTGGTTCCCGAAAAGACTCAAATCCATCATGAAGCAAAGAAGACCTTGAAAAAGCCAAATCCAACCTTTTGAAAAGAAGGGATATAAAGGAGCCTAAGGCCTCCGGCCAAATCTTTGAGTCCTTGTGTGACTACCGTCGGGTTCTAGGGTCTATCTGTGCGGTGATGTTGTGGTTGCCGGCCGTGTGACAACCCGCACGGCGCTAGTCCAGCCCGCAGAAGCTATTATCTATTCTCTTTGTCTTTCTTTTCTCTTTATCCTCTTTCTAGGTTTCTTTTCTTTCTTTTTCTTTTTTTGGGAGGGGCGATTTGCCATTAAGCCCCCACCGGTAGAGTAAACGGGGTATCTCGTCACAGGTTCAAAGCTTAATAACTGTGATAAGGGCTTGATATCAAGGGTTTGAAGTGGAATGACTCTATTTAATAATAATCTTTTGGGATGTTAAAGGCCCTTGGCTTTTCAAGCGGAAGGAAGGGATCAGTGACTACTATATATATAGTTGACATGAAAGAAAAAGCTGTGCCTAAGGCTCCCAGCGGGTCATGTGTTCAGTCTGTGTAACCTCTGGGTTCTGTATCGGCGATGCCCCTTTGTTGGGCGGGGAGATTATTGAGCTTTTCCAGTTTGAGTTGGATCGTTGAGAACCGCAAGAGTAGAATATTAGATGGCATCCATATAGTCCCAGCCGTGGTATAGGCACCGTCAAAGTTTATGAAATCCAACTACATAGTATAAGGTGTAGTATTACAGCATAAAAACTTGGTAAAATATGGGTTTATAATATTTTGACACATTCTGGAATTGGTCAATCAGGCCATCTGTGGAAGCCGCTCGCAGTTAGCAGACTAGATTTGACCTGTTTATATGGAGCTCCTAAGTTGGTTGTAGCTAGTTGACAATACAAGCAGCAAAAATGGCACGGAATCTGTAACTGGATTTCAACACTGCCAAGTCTTAGATACTGGCCGTAGCCTATGACAGTGGGATGCTGGTCAAACATCATGACGCAAAGTCCTAGTTTGAGAAAGCCAAGTAGCCCTTGCGTTTGCATTGTGCTATCGGGAAAAAATTCTCAAAAGCGAAAGAGGGCTTTATAATCACAACAACACAAGCTGCGAAACTTGCCTGGCATTGGCCGTGCTAGTGCACGCTTATTTAGGACAGGCTGTGGGAGGTATTGCTCTAGTTGGAAAGATTCCAAAAAGGGCCCTTGATCTGACCATCGACTTTGTGACAAGCCGTGTCACCAGGCGTAACAACTAACGGAGAGGTCATTCCCCCGTTAATCCATATTACGACTAAGAGTCTCGGAGATTAGCTTGCTTTCCTTCCTCCCTCCAAGTAGACGAAGAGTTAAATTGAGAAGAATAAGGGGACTTACGGGTGTCATTGGCAATAGCAGCCTTAACCGACTTCATGTTGGGGCAGATCTGACCCCGCTCAATACCCTCCCAAGCATAGACGGTTTGCTCAAAATGGCCGCAGTGGTCGTCGGTATAGGCGTTAAAAGTGCCGTGGTCTTTCCTAGTAGCGATGACGCCAGCATGAATACAAGGAGCTAGAGTAGCTAGGAGAAGTGTGGCGGGAAAAGCGCGCATGATTGCGATCGAGATAGTGGGCTGAGGAGCTTGGAAACCTCTAGGCTGTGAAGATAATGGATAATGCCACTTTTCTGATTGACTCGGTGCAAGTCGTGTACCAAGATGTCTAGACAGGTGAGTCGATGCCTAGTAGCACGTCCCTGCCATTGGTATATACATGTTTGAGAACACTACGCATTACGGATTTCAGGTATGTTCTTGTGCGGCCGCCGCCATATTCGTCATTTTCCGCATCCGCTCTGTATTCCCGTATGTGTAGTGATGTGGTGTGACTCTGGACCCTGTTGGTCCCATAGTCATTTGTAACTTTTCTGCATACACGACGTGACTCGAGGCTAACACCAGTGTGATGCGAGTGCGGGTTAAGGAAAGTTGCGTCAGCAACAGGTACGGATTTCTCCATCATCGGCCCTTTTATTTCTGCACTCTTCACGGAGACGAAGCTCCTTCATTCACGTCGAGTCTAGGTAATAGTTTCCGCTACCCAATGGCTATCTTACCTCCCGTTACTAAAGATGCTCATCTCAAGGAAACGAACGCTATATTAAAAGTGGATAAATTGGGTCCTAGATTCTATCACGTCATACCACAACATATCATATGCGATTTGTGTGTGATGCAGCATTCCTGCATGTTACGACTGGCTAATAAGCTCAGCGTTAATGGAGCAGAAATGCGCCATCTGAACGAGTCCCTCGGTCACAAAATCGAGTCCAAAAGCACATTTTGTAAGACCTGATTGCGGTTGCGGCTACTACCGATAATTTTGCAAGTTTTCGGCACAAGCATGTCGTCTTGCGCTAGTCAATACGCAGAGGCAAGAAAGCCCAACGAAAGTGACATATGAGATGAAACGATATGTGAGAATTGCGTAGACTTTGTCCACTCCTAGGCCTTATCCATTTGTGAGACATGGAGTCACGCGTATCTTCTGGGGTTTCACCATATTGTGAGATTCTCAGCCGTTACGAAGTATTGAGAGTAGCAGCTTTTCTTGATTGGTATTATTCTCATGATGCCGTGTCGCAATTTTGACTCGGGCCAGGTGGCTTGTCCACTGAGTGATGGACGGGCAGGTGTTTGGTTTTGGTCCAAAAACTCGATGCACTCACGTCTCGGGCAGATGACAGATCGCCATGTGCAACGCGAGCACAAACCATGGCAGTCCTACTTTCTCTTTTCGCAGTCGGAGGCAAGAGGCGTTCTGGTGACCATTACTGCCTATAGGTGCAACGTCGCACGGCAGAAGCCGGTCTAGAACCCGTGGAGAGTTATGAACATGGCGTTGATTGATGACTGAATAATATTTACCCATTCATTTGACATTCTTTAGACAAAGGACATGTGTCGGCAAAGATATGTCGTTATTGCGTAGTCTAGACGCAAACAAGGTGCAACCGGCAAGACAATTTGAGTGTCGAAACTGCCTGCACATTTCTCGGTCGAACGGACAGTTAGGATACATTGTCGAGATGTACTTTGAGTTGTACACGCAGTGGAAGCAATTTAACGACAGGCTGTTCCTATATTCCTCGCAACGAGGATCCCGTTATTTAAGCTCTTCCCGGGTAAGCTACATGGTAGTGCTTTGAATTCCCCGTATTACTGCCTATCATAAACTCTATTTAGTGTATCTTTAGTGTATTCGCCATATTTGGTCTGTAATGCTAGTCGTATTATGACAATAGCACAATAGCCTTGTCAGCGACCTTCAACTCAGCTAGTATTGATCACGCGTAGCATATTACATTCATCGTTGACCAGCTATACATCGTCCATCGCAAGGTCTCCAAAGTCAACGCGGAATGTGCGTGCGTCCGCAGTGTGGCAGGACTAAATCCCTCACGTTGCAGTCTCCAATGGTGATCTAGAAGACATGTCTAGGGGTGATAAGATGGTATGAATTAGGGACTTGAACAAAAGTCGCCGATGGTACAATCGTCTGCCGAGGAGACGAGGTTATACCGATAACGTACTTGTCTGGGTATGTTGCTTCTCTCTTCTCCCATATGCGGGGTGATTGTCTGATTGTCCTGACATATAACATGGGGCAGGCTGGGGAGTCACTCACTCAGATTGGCTTGCTGAAATGTAAAGTCATCCTTGGTGTGGATGACGAAGCGCTCGACGTGCCCTCGGCTCCCTTCTTCCGCATCTAGCTGACTCGTGGTTAAGTCGGTGACCCCTCCGGAGAACAGTCGACATCGAGGCGAGTCATCGGTATCAGCTTCTTTCCTTGCAATATGATTTTACAATCAAAAGTGACAGGTCGCCAATTTACGATTTCGGTACCAGTTCGCATGGCGCATCTGCTGTTGCTCTCCTCAGCCGAGTCATAAACCACGTCATGCTTGCCGCAGGTGGCATAGAGCTGCGCGATAGAACGAAAGAGACATTGCCCTGGTCATGGGCGACACCGCTAGCACTGGTAATGATTCGCGTGGTGATGTTGATGCCCAAGACTTCGGATTTGATGCGCGGCTTTTCTTGGAAAAAAAAAAGGCATACGACTTCTGCCAGCCTGACTCGCTGCGTATTGAAATGATGTCGAGTCGGCAGCTCGGTAATGCAGATGATGGCAAGCCCCGGAGAATGTATTGTACATTTTGGAGAGTCATTCGATGAAAGAAGATGGACTAAAAACAGCATGCGGTAGCATTCATGACTCCGCATGTCTCAGCAAAGGGCTTGGTGGCTGGTCCTTGATGTGATATCAAACCGCGAAACAGTGGGAAAACAGCATATCAGGCCTAGACGAGGATATATATAAAGACACAACATCAGCCCCCCAAAAACTCGAGTTTGAGCTACACCCGAAATCATACAAAATCCACACTTTATTCACATCGAACGATTCTTCAAGTAGTGTCACAACCTACCGCCAAAATGGTCAACAAGTACACAATCAAGGTCGTCAACCACTCGGGAACCCCGCAACAGTTTGAAATCCTCCCCCAAGTCTTGGCAAGACATGGCACAACTGACAATGAAGCAGCTACGTCCTCTTCAACAAGCCTCCCCAAATCGTTGGGGAAGTCCAGGGGCAGATCTGGTCCAACGTCTTCGACACACACAACACTCCCAACGCCGGTGATGCAAACTTTTCCGTCTTTCAGCAGTACTATGGTGTCGCGGGCACTGCCAATGAAGCCCCTGCGGTGGGTGTCGAGGTGGACTTGAATAGTCCTAAAGAAGTGACACTCGGCTCTGCCAAACCCGATGGAACACTGGTGCCGGGCACGACGCTCCAACTCGTGGTCAAGGACCACGCGCCGCAGTTGGCAACCACCCAAGCCGCTACAAGTTTTCTAAAAGCCTTTGAGGTCCAGACTGGCAAAGACTTTACCGCTGAGGATGCGAAGAAGAGTGAGCTTGACCCCCCCCTTCCCTGCTTGCTAAGCTCGCTCACCTCGCTACGCAACAGGAAACTACTTGATCGGGCTGGGTGGCAGTCGCACGGGAACTTCCTTCACCGCGCCTGCCGCCACTTTCATACCCAAGCCTAACATCAAGTACCAGATCCAGCCCGTCAACGTCTTCTACGTGACCCATGGCAATTACAGCAAGGGCTCTCTCATCGACGTGACCAAGACTGGACACGCAACAGTCACCATTGACTTCGCAGAGCAGGGCAGAGACGACATCGTCATCGTTCACGACAACCATGGCAACTTTCAAATCCAGGCATAACTCAAGAAAGGGCCACGTGCAGAGAGAGGCCGTGTTAAAGTAGGCCTATGCGTGGGGGAACAATTTTGCGTTCTTGATTGACTCGCTTTGATTGGAATGAGAGATACTTGACATTACCTAACAAAGACCGACGCTCATTATCACATCTGTATATAGTTCATCTAATAGTACAGTGTGCGACTTCTAAGAATATCCTTTCTTTTATTACCTTGATACAAGGCGGGTGCTTATGTATTCTATTTGGAGAAGAGTGACTTGATAATATTCCAGCAGCTATTGATAAGTTTAACGCAAATTAGTGCCGCTTGGTGCCTGCTATAGCCGAGCCCTTGGATCCTGAAAAAGTTCTTCCCAGACGCTTGAGCACCTTTACTCGGACGGAGAGAAAGTTAACCTCAAGTTATATAAATGGTGGATTACCGTGTACGCGGTGAGTATATAGCTACATTTATACAGATTCTCTGACTCTATTCGAATTTTCGTGTGCAGAAAAGCCGCCACATAGTATAGGGTAGAGGTATATTAAGAGAATATGTCACACGAGCGTACCTTGGCTAGCATCTCAGTTGATACTAGTAAAAGCCTTGTTAAGTTATAAAAGAAAGGATTGTTTGCGCAGCAGAAGAAAGGGCCGCCCTGCTCTATTAACTTATTAAAAAAAAAAAAAAAAAAAAACGGGTGATATATAAGGGCATCTAGTAACACTGTATTTTGGCCGTACCTAGGCCAGGGAATTGTAACTAACCACGCAAACACCAAGATTTACAACTCCAATTAATGGAACTATGTCACAGGAACAGACTTGACTCTGTAAGAAAGATATGGGTTCCTGCGCCCCTGCTCTATTAACTTAATAAAAAAAAAAAGAAAAAACACGGGCTAGATGGAGGGCATCTAGTAACACTGTATTTTGGCCGTACCTAGGCCAGGGAATTGTAACTAACCACGCAAACACCAAGATTTACAACTCCAATTAATGGAACTATGTCACAGGAACAGACTTGACTCTGTAAGAAAGATATGGGTTCCTGCGCTGGTAATAATTCACGTCCAATAAGTGTATTAAAAGAGTTACCTCGGAAACGCACACGTTAAGCGGAGATGTGATGCCCGTTACTGGGAGGGTCTTGGGATCTTGAGCAATTCAGACCCTGAAGTTTTACCCAGGTGTGACATAGAAAGGGGGGTTAGAGCCGATAACAAATAATTTCTACAAAGAGTATATACAAAGGTCAAGTCGGATTGTACATGTGTACTTGGACCTGACGCCGCTTCGAGCTATCAAAGAGATAATTATAATCTCAGGTAAAGTAGGCTCTTGGCCTCGTTGTACATGCCGTCTAATATTTGCGCGTAATATAATATAATACCCAATATAGCCAGCACGCTGTTATACTGTGCGCACGTTCTCATTTTCTCTTTTCCTTCCCGTCTCTCCAGCTATTGGATGACCGTTGTAGTCTCTCAGCTAATAGTTGTGAAGACACCCATCTTAAGCCGTCAAGTCAAACAGACCCCATGCTACACAGCAAATGAGGATCACCGGCTTTAACAACTGCCTACTACTGTCAACGAGTAAGAGGGGGTGTAGTTGATATTCAACTAGAGCGCGCGCTTTTTGTGATGACTAGCCATTTTCCATCTACAAAGTACTGTTTATGATTTACCTTTCCTCTAGCAGGGTTAAAAGATAGGGCATTTCACCACGCAATTTTCGCACTTTTATTGACATTTACGGGTCGCGACTAAACCGAGCAGGCCGCCCAGAAAACTCCCACGCAAATTTAATACAGTCTGGCATAACGGCTCAGGCAGTGGAGGCACACAGCAAGGATAGCCCGGACCAACAAGGCAGACTTTGCTGTGAGCAACTAGGAGGAGAAGCGGGCTATGGCGTCGAAAGAGTATCTGTCAGCGACTAGTGAACAAGTCACTTAATAACTTGATGTCCCAAAATAAGCAGAAGTCGGCGTCATATTTATGAACTATGTTGGGGGCAGGGCGGTTGACCCTTGCTGCTAGGCTGTTCATCTGGATCATCACTATAAAGTCTAACCCTTGAACGTTAAGCTATGAATAAACTAATAGTAAGTTCACGCCGGAGCTACTGTCCTCATAGTACGGAGTACCAATACTCTACAAGACTAAAGGAGATGACACTTGGCAGGGCTGATAGTATAGAGTATAGGGCTGTATAGTTACGGAAGCTCGATTTTATTCTATTCATATTGCTATGTATGTAGATGTTCCCATCATTATATCATGTAGAGCGAACTGTGGTCCAAGATCGTGGCGTTTGGGGTACAACCAGAAGAGGTGAACAAGACACGGCATCTCAATTATGCGGCTGGCCATTGTCCTTGATTTTGGCGCTGTTCAAGGTGGCCACAGTAGCGAAACATTTGGTGCAGACATTGTAGTCGGGACAGGTGGTGCACGTATAGACGCGCCCGAAGATTGGCTAGACAGACACAGGTTTCGGTGAGCTTCCATGTCACTAGTAGACAGACAAAAGGGGCTTGGAGGACACTCGAAACTCACACCTAAACAGATGCCACAGGTCATAGACCATATGTTGTATCGCCTGACCAGCACATCATGACCCTTTGCAGATGCAGAGGCAGACATGGGTTCTCTTTTAACATCGTACTTTAGCATGTGGATGATCTTCTTCTCAGCGCCACACCGCAGCGCCAGAGTCAGGGGCGTCATCTCGGAGGCTTCCCCAAGCCTGAAAGTTACCAGTGACCGTCCGGTTCGCCCCGTGGCGTAGGAGGATCCGGACGACGCTAGCATCGTCCCTCTTTTCCGATCTCCTGTCCTCGGCCAAGTCCCCCTTTGCACGGACGTACCGCCCAGCACCGAGGCGTCCATCCGTCCCCTGTTGGCCTGATATAGGTGCTGCGCCATCCTCGCCCCCTTGAGGCCTAGCCTTGACAGGATGAAATCTACCGTCTTGGCGTTGCTGAACTGTGCCGCCCAGTGGAGGCAGGTTTTCCCCCGTTGTCGGCGGCCATCATGTCGCCCCGGCAAGCCAGGAGGACTGCCTGGAAGTTTTGGGACACCGCTCGCAGCGGCGAGGTGAAGCGGCATGCGGCCGGAGATGGGGTCAACAACCGCCGGCCTGTATTAGGACCTTCAGAGACTCGAGAATTGCACCACGAGCTGCGGCTAGGAATGGTGTCCGGTCCGGCGTTTACTGTCGCGGCGGTGGGGTCAATGGACTTGCCAAACTCGAGGAGGCACTGGGATCTTAATGATATCGGGTGGCCCATCGAGGGCCAGGTGAAGCAGACTGCGGCCATCCGAGTCGGTTTCGCTCAGATCGGCCCCACTGTCGGCAAGGAGCCGGACAAGGCAGGCATCCCGGACGTGGCCGACGGCTGCCCAGGTGGGGGGTCCGGCCCGAGCCGTCCGGATGGTGCACACTGCATGTTGTGTTTGCCTTCCTGTCAAGCAGCATGCCAACCACGTCCCGGTGAGAGCCTAGCACGGCGTTATTAATGAGAGAGTCCCCGGACCTGTTGGTGCTCTCCGGGTTTGCACCCGCATCAAGGAGGAGCTTGACTACTCGTGGCTCGTGGAGTGTTGTCTGCAGAAGTGTCATTCCGGACTGCGTGTCGATACCGTCCAGCTTTGGCTTCCACTCCAAGAGCTCTTGGACCAGCGCAGCATGGCCAGCCTTGGCGGCAAGGTGCAGGGCGCCTCGCCCGGCAGAGTCTAGGGCATTGAAGTCTGCGCCATTCTTGAGTAGCCACCGCAAACGGGTAGATTTCTCTTCTGCCGCTATCATGAGGGCCGTGGCGCCGCCAGGACCGCACATGTTCAGCTGCATGGGTCGGTCCCCGCTCCGCAGGGCGTCGCAGACTCTGATGACGCTGTCGGGGTCCAGGTTCGAACTCGCCAGCCCGAGCAGGAGATGCGGATGCACCAGACCTGCTTGCGGTTCGGATCGCCGCCATGGCGGACCAGATGGTTGATGGGTCTGCAAGTGCGGCCCGCACATGACGGCATACCATAGGGGCGTTCTCGCATCGTGCCCGCCGAGGGTATGAGGGCCTGCGTCGTATTTTAGGAGGATTCTCGTCGTCTTTGGATGGTTCTGGGTGCATGCCCCTTGAAGCGGTGTCTAGTAGCCGTCGCCGTATCCATTGATGCCCTCGGTGCGGTTCGGGTCTATTTTGAGTTCAAGGAGGGCCTCGACGACCGAGTAGCTACCCTCAGTAGCCGCGGCAAAGAGCAAGTTGCTTGCCCGTCCCGACTGGAGATGCGAGGAGTTGTTATTGACATACTCTTGAATGATGTCAACATGACCGTGGCTAGCTGCTGCCTCCAAGCTTGTGAACCTATTGCTCTTTAGCACGTCTGTCCGGGCGCCGCGTCTTAACAGGACCCCGGCGGTGGATGCATGGCCGAATCTTGCGGACATGTAGAGGGGAGACGGGAAACACTTGGGGGCACGAGGTTCGGTGCTTGCGTCGTTCCTGAGCAGCAATGGTCTTATGATCTCTTATCCCCTGCCTGCATGGCAGCCACGAGAGCATCCGTCAAAACTGCAACGGTGGGGATATCCTCCTGCAGGAACCTCGTCCTCATCTCGCGCCGTCTGGAACCCGCAGCGGCAATCAAACACTGTCTTTGCGAGTTCTCAGTGCCCTTTTTCACGTCCTCGTATGAGAGCATTCCAAGGCCCGCGAGGATGGGCGAGGGAGATTCGGGCGGTGACCTTAGGGTCCGAGAGAAAGGATTGCTCATTGCCCAGTAGACCTTTGCCCACTGCACAAAGGACGGGGCAGCGGTATCCCTGAGACGGGACAACAGAGCATTGGTGGCATCGTTTATAGGACATTTGGATAGGTGGTAGGGCGACGACTGTGCCGCATAGGACGCTATGCCATTGTCACCAGGCAGAATTGGGGCAACGACCTGCCGAAATTGTTTCCAATCAACCCGCAACTCGTATTGCCGGAATATAGAATTCAGAAGATTTTGTGTGCGAGTCATGCAAACATACGAGAAACAAGGCTAGGCTTTGGTGTGCAGCCCGTCTTATCTCATTCCAGATATACTTATTAGTTTCCGTATCTTCTTTAAGAAGATCGCATACGCCGCTCCGGGTGGTCACTCGGTCGTTGCTACACGCAGCAAGCACGCCAATCCACGATTCCAACTCGCACCAGATCCTCTCCATAGCAGCAGGACATGATAAACTCGGTGATTGAGCACTTTTTGTGTCATTTACCTGGCAGCGATGGTGAATCAAGTTGATGGTAAGTTCCAGCCGGCTCAACGGGCGGTAACCACAGAGCAGCCAGTTCAGCACACAACGGAGCCCCTCCATGTCATGGTCGGATCTCAGTACTTTATCCGGTACAGTTTCAGGGGTGTCGCCAGCATTTGTACGACCCAGGAGACTATTAAATTTACCGAGAGACTTCAGCGAGGGGTTCTTGGGCCATCCAGAATGCTCTTGCAGCAGTTCGAGGCATACTTGGCGCGTAGTCTTGTCCATCGGTGCTAGCCTAGACAAATTACGTGCAATTCGATCTTTTACGTCGTCAAGGGGGCAAAGACGCGTCAGTCGATCAGCGTTGACGCACATATCCTTATCATCATGGGGGTAAAGTCATCCAAGTTAATTTTCGGCCAATCCTGTAGTTCGCCCAGCAGAGCATTGGGTGTCCGCAAAGTGACTAGAGCCTTGAGTGCTCAATACGCTTCGAAAGCTTATTCTACTAGTCGAGGAACGCCCTTCGACCATGTTTGCCACATTCGTCAAGGTCATGTAATAGGAGCAGTGAACCAGATCCTGAATTATAATACCTGACTGTATCAAACATGTTGAGACAAGATTTCTCCGTCCATCCACCATCTACTCCTTGTCAGTAAGATTTTCCACATGAGCTCAGGATCAAGCGTGAGTAAGCACCTCCTTGAAAAGGGGAAAGAGAGAAGGGGGTCAAACGGCGGGGATTTGTGAGTACTAACTGAAGTGAAAATCGCCCTGAAGGATGATATTTTCTTGGCCGAGAGACCCAGTGGCGTGGCCAGCTCCGGCCTGAACTAAGATGTAGGCGAGCATGTCAGTGGCGGAGTTACGGGAAGGATCAGTCGAGTCGAAGGTGAAGAACAGGGCCTTTGCGTAGTGCCGATGCCGATCTCGATGTTTCTCTTGCCATGCGACAAAGACTTGGTCTGCCATTTCATGAGCGTCGCGGGATGAACTTCTGTGGATGTACAGGATTTGGGAGCCCGCAAATTCGGCCCAGTCTGTGTGTGTAGGACTTTCTAGAACTGGGTGGGAGACCAGTTCTGGCACTGCGTGTAATTGAATCGGGCTATGTAGTGCGGAGCAGGCAAGAAGTGCCCTTTCCATGTGTATCCATCCCGCACAAGGAATCCAGTCTGAAAGTAAGCACCGTCAGCTCGGTCAGGGGAAACTCAGAAACTCGGGAACGTACGGTCGTGGTCCCGTGGTACGTGTTGTGAGAGAGATGGAAAACGCGTTATTGTGTTGCCACCTTCTCCTGAAGTATTATCTTGGATGGTATGCCGAGCGTCGCCGTGAAGTAGTTAATACCTGTTAAGATGTTAGATCTCTAACTAGATTCGTCTTACTTGGGAATCTCCAAGGGTCTCACAGAATGAATCCTTCCCGCTCCTTTCTAGTCTGTAAAAAGGCTGATGATTCGGCTGCGCATAGTAATCTTTGAGCTGATGAACATCTCAGTAGCCCTTAAGGCGGAGTGGAGTGGGCGGGCCAGCGGATGGACGACTTCATTGAGCTGCGGTCTTATTTCATCTCCCTTGTCCAAGAGGAACTCAAAGAGTTTTGACTCGATCGCTTGAGGATCTATATTACGCTGGGGACGACCCGAGAAGACCTGAGGACAAATTTAAGCAAATAGTTTTAGCTTGCTTAAAGTGGCCGAGACTTACAACCTGCGCAGTGCTGGTACATATTGCGGGACGCTCCTCTTCGGACATGGCCGCAAGCGAGAGTGCCTCGTAGTTTACGCAAGTCAGTTACAGGCTTTGTGTCCAGAGAGGAAGAAGGAAGGGGATACTACCATTTCAACTACAATAGCACCAAGATCATAGGCAATAAAAATGATGGCTCGCTTTATTTTTGTTTCAGACACATGCATAAAACGGCTTGGAAACGCACTCACCCGCACGTCTTGGTGCCGTAAAGCTGCCAATCCATGTAGGAGGCGGATCGCCTGCTGCTTCACCGAGTTTTGCGTCAGATCTCCCAGCAGCAAACTGGCCAGCTCTAATCGAAATACGAGTTCCCTCCTCTGCATTTTCACAGAGGTGATCAACTGTTTGAGATAAAGCACATCTTCTTCCGGACACAAGACCGCCACATGCACCACACTATTCAAGGCATCGCCAGTGAGCGTTACATACCAGGGGAATGAGAGACAGCGGAGGTTCTGTTAGGATTGGGACAAACACTAACTCTATGTTTGGGTGCTTATTATTGTAGTGTCCGTCTTTCGATAAGAAGCTTTTGGTGGTGAGCCAAACCTGTGGCTGTGATTCCTTGACCATATGTCGACGGAATATAAGGGGGGTATAATTGCTATCCAATTAGAGCGCGTTCTTTTTCGTGATACCATGTTATCGAGTTCGGTGTCTGCTTTCAGTAGCTCTGAGCCGGCATATTGGGTCGTCTCTTCAACCAACATCACTGTTAGAGAGGTTAGATATGGTTGCTGAAGCGCCTTTGTTGGAGAATATGATACGACTGCCCGACTATTTGTTGAGTCAAAGGCCGAGTTCCGAGAGTTGGTGAAGAAATGGACTTTGGTTCGCTTGTGCAGGACGGGGCCGTAGGAGATGCGTGATAATCCAGGCTGTCAATCAGCCGCCCTTTCTGTGGGTGATGAACCGCGAAAAAGACGGGCTAGCAATGCATTCCACTCTCAGCAGAGCATTGGGTATCGGAAAACGAGGGCCCCTTTTGTAATTAGACGCAAAAAACGGGAAAGAGGAAGTAATGTCACACGGTTAGACCGCAGCACAGGCGTTGGGCTAACAAAGGTTATACAACAACAACAAAGGTAACTATTACGAGGACCCGAAGTTGGACCAGACCTTGGGCTAAGGCTGCCTCAGGCCTTTAGGGCTCACCGACTTCTTGTATTTATAGAGACCTCTAGCCCCTTAAGACCTTGGAAAACCAAAGACCTTTGATACCTTCAAGTTGATTATGAAAATTGAAAGCCCGCTTACACTGCCCTTGTCACAGATAAAAACAGGAACATTGAAGTGATCTGCGGTCAGCCTCATGAAAAATTAGCACACACGCCTTCATCTCATTAGGATCCGAGTTCCCCCGCGCGAGCGCCGATCGATCGACCCCACGAATATTCCACGAAAGTCAGCGAATTAGCTAGGTAGTACCACCGACGAAGTGCCTCACCACCAACTTTCCCAATTTCCAGTGCGTCAAATAGTCTCTTTACATCTCCCGAAACTTGCCAAGAGACTCGAATACAAATTCTAGTTGAGTCAGTCTCAGCCGCTAGGCGGATCTAGTCAATTATTGATGTGTTGGAGCCTTGGCGCTATACTAATCCGCTCTTTACAATCACATTGACTGCTTTTGCCCAACTTCCAGATAGCAATTTCGGGTCGTGAGCTCGCTTTCCTTGTTTGCTTTCTCAGCCCTGGTTAAACCGCTGAATCAACTCGAAGTCATACTTTTGCCTCAGGACTTTAGTTTGGCTCAAAAGAAGAGTCTTGGCAGCGATGGGCTTTACGTGACAGCAAGTATCCAAGTGCGGTCACCGGAGTGAAAAATTGGAGACCCTCATTCTATTTTCAACATCATAATCTAAGATCCCAACCCACCGGCTCGGCCCGATATGTTGAAGCATCCATGCCTGAGATTTCCGAGTACGCAGCTGAATAACTACCGATACGCAGGATGAATGCCTTTGCCCGAAACTCGCTCAGTTGCATCCTTAGAGCTAATTCAAGCCACGGGGAACCCTACCAAGTCTGCTTGTGATCCATTGACCGAAGCAATTATATGCCACCAGAGGTATCACCAACACGGAGTAGTTATCTCGGTGTCATTTTCTGGTCAAATACTTGTCAACCCGCACTGTGAGTTCTGCCTCTCGCTAGAGTATTCACTCCTCTAGTTCCAGACGGCATCAGACCGCGTAGGATAACACAGACTTGCATGATTACTGCAAAACGACAAAACTCTTTCCACCCTTTAATCAAGCCAAAACGTTGCCGCAGCTAAATTGGCCCTTGGATACTCCGGACTATCGGCCCAGGACCTTTTGTGTCTGCCGTCCTTCTCTGTCACTAGCATCCTTTTCCAGCTCTGCTGCCGGCACTTTTCTGACATGGACCCCAAATGGGTCGACTACCAGAAATACAGCAGCCGCTACCACCATCAATACTGCATCCAAGCCAATGAATAGTGGCTGGTCTCTGATCAATGTGCCATTCCAGCCACCGGTCAATTCGAGCGTACGGTAGATGCTACGGATGTATATGGCAAGAAGTGAGATGAACATGGCACCGAGGATCGCATAGTATGACCGCGGGATACCTAATTTGATGGAGCGCGTCACAAAATTGACGGCCAGCAGTGCGAATACGGTCATGGTGAAGAGCTGGAAGCCAACACCAGCTACCATGATATATGTCCCCGGCCAAGTGTCGCCATCAGGCCTCCCTGAAGCAAAGGATGCTAAAGCACCGCCCGCAGCCTGAGTACTCGCGTGTCAGCATTTCATTCCAAGTATTGCGCCTACACAGTCGAGCCGGGACGCAGTCGCCGTTGGCATTGAATGGCGGCGAAGATAGAAGCAGACCGATATGTCCAAGTACCCACCTGCACTACCAGTGAGATTACATCGCAGGTGCAGAAAACGATAGTATACATCCGTGCTGATAGCAAGCTTGATTTGCGTCCCATGACGACAATGAGTTTACCCAGCAGGATGTACAGTGCGGCTGTAAAGAACGTCGGTCCGATGATCAATGTCGTAATTTGCATCAAGAAGGCGTTTTGATTGTACGGGCAGCGGGATGACCATGTGCGACCAGCCCATCCGATCGTCTCGGCTAGAGGAGCGAGAGAGGTCTGATTAGTGCATATCTTCTTCATTCCGGAGAGTAGCAAAACGCACTCATTACGCCGATCGCGACAAGGCCCGCCGTCCACGACCTAAAACAGATGGCCTGCACGGAATGACCGAGAAATAAAATGCCGAAGAGAATACAAAACGCGATGCCCGCGGCGAGGCTAGAACGGTAGCCGCTCGGCGGAAGCCATCCTTCGAGTAGATTTGGGTAACAATTGTTGGGGTTTCGCACAGGCTCTGGAACAACAAAACTGGACATGATGAATGGAAAAGAATATCAGGACACCATTTGTACTTGGGAATGTTATAATGTAGTACGTCTCCAAGATGGTGTGCAGTGCTTCTATTCTTCCGATTGCAATACAAAACTTTGAGACCGGGTGCAAAGGACTGAAAAGACGTGTTTAGAGAAGGCACTCATAGAGTTATCAGTCAGTCCTAAGGACAAATAAACAGGACCAACGCGAAGAAGTGTGTTGGATAAACTGCCGCGTTGTTGCAATACCTAGAGTTGTCAGCCCCAACTCACATCATATTAATCTAATTCGACCATTTGTCGAAAAGAACGGATGGGCAACCGGGGGCCGGGCAAGGTGGCCACCCTCATTTGTGTCTGGTAAATGTCTCAGATGCATGGCTGGGAGTTTATTGTACGGAGTAGTAAGCAGGAGACGCAGCCTACGTTGCATTGCTTACTGCCTGCAGAAATAACTGCATGGCATGCGCTTTTTAATTTTTCATGGCTCACAGCGCGTGCAACCAGAGTTGCCATGTTCCAATCCATTCCATTCGGATGAATTCCGAGTTTGTGCACAGCCCCTCGGTTTTCATTTGTGCCAAAACCTGCGCGCCCTGTCTTAACCGGCTAGAGGGCAAGACTTCTGAATTAGCTTCGATAGTATCAAAGTTTGTACCGGTATGATAGCTAGACATGTTCCATTAATGCGGGAATCAGTTTTGATAGCAGCGAAACTCTTGAGGTGAGATGAAGTCCAAGAGTGCCGTTCCAACGCCTGTCGTAATGCAAAGACGGCACTGGGCTCTCATTGCTGATGGACTCTTTGGTATTTCTCGCCCCAAATTTATGGCGGCTGAACACACGCGCATATACGGAGTTGACTCGGGTGGCTTTACAGTAAGGTGACAGTCTGGTTGTGATAACAATTACTACACGACGATCTTCTGTAGTCAGTATGTCGCCCCCATGTTCATCTGGCTCATGGAAGACATTGGCCTGGTTGACTTGACATTATCGCTTCAACACCGGACATGGCAATTTGGTCTTCCCTAATAGAAACGTGGACCGCTTTGTCTTTTACGCCTTCTTCGAATCTGCCTCGAAAACTGCACTGATACTTCATACCGCAAGCCGTCCACTTCGACACACATTAAATGGCAGAACCGGAACCAAACCCACAGCGAGGCACACGCTTTCGACTCCGCGCATGGCTGCCATCTCTTCTCTTTGTTATATTATCACTTCCTTTGGGCTACTACACGCGGAGCAAACGCTTTTCGTTTATCCATTGGGTTGGCAGCAACCTGGGAAGCCCTAGTCGGTTCATTGCCCTGCTTCTTATCGCGACGAACTGGAAAGGATTGCCATTCGGGTGGAGTGTAAGAACAGCATTCATATGACAGCAGCTCTGCCGATTTCGACCCGAACCCAGCTAACTTGGATCTATAATTAGGTTCACGTAATTTCTGCTCTTGTCAGCCACCTTTTTGCCAACACATTACATAGTCATGGTCCCGAGAAACTGTTCCGCCATGTAGTCAGCCAGTCCCATGAGCCGCTGCTCGAGGTTGACTACAATCTTCACAAGTCGAATGCTACGTTCTTCAGCGATCTTGATGTATCCCGTACCCATATGCTACATCTCCTTTCTCCGGCCATCCACAGTCTATGGAATAATAGAGCCACCAGACTCGTCATGGATCCCTCCACGCCTGGTCAACTTGCGCGAGGGGGTGTGAAGATCGTCGTTGGTGCTGTGCAGACCAGCTACAAGAGAGAGCTCAAAGCATGTGGAACATACGAGATGTGGACGCGTGTACTGAGTTGGGATCGAAAATGGCTCTATCTTGCCACCTATTTTGTCGTCAAGGGAGCGGACAATCTGCCTGGACCAGGCAGTGATGGTTCTGGCCTCGCCTGTGGTGGTGCCCAAGTTCTCCCAAGAAACAGAGATGACATAGTACTTGCTACTTTCATAACCAAGTTGGTATTCAAAATCGGTCGATTGACAATCCACCCTGCCGTGGTGTTGGATGCGAGCGGCCTACTGCCACCTCGTCCTGGTGGTTGGACAAGTAGTGGTGATGATAACGAAACTCCGCTAGCGAAACCTGTTGCACAAGACTCGGAAAGGAGAACAGACGAGGAAACTGAGGCATCGTGGGACTGGCGGCACACGGAAAGAGAACGGCGAAGGGGGCTAGATCATGCCCAGCATTTGGCGGCGCTAGATGATCTGTCACAAACGTTTAGTGGTGAGAAGGAGGACGTGCTCGGAAAATTTTTGGTTGGGAAAATGTGTAATTATGAAAACACATATTCTTGTCGTGGGGCCACGGTATGGTTCATGAACTCATTGTGGCACAAATATTTCTTTCTCGCATCGTATTATTGTGTGGACGAACAGTAGTTTTGTGGTACCGAAGCAGAAGTTTTGCAGCAGCGTGAGATGACCCCAGTGCCTGCATATTCTTTTCAGCGGGCCCTGCCATAGTTGGGCGGTCAAGAAATGTCTGGTTCTTTACAATGCCAGATGTTTTACTGATCAATGTTCACTTCACGGGGTGGAGCGCCTGTCTCGTCGGGCGTTGTGAACGTGGCCGAGAGTGAGACTGCCATCGCGTTCAAGTGAGGTTGAACGTGAAAGTTGGCTGTGAAGAAGGCTGGGTCAATTCGCGGCCTGCCTACCTACCTAATCCACGGTACGAAGTACGGAGTAGCGTAGTTACAATACGTACGGTACCAAGCTGACCCTGGTTGGTTACTATGTCAACGGCGAAGTCGATATACCGGGCATAGTAAGCCTTGCCGTCTCGTCAGCCGTTTCCATTTCGAATACTCCGTCCTCCAGCCAATATAGGCTCCGCGTACATACGCAATACGTAATAATATCCCCACCAGAGTTGTTGGTCCTACTCACAATGCACAGACAACAGCCACTGCTCTATTGCTGATTCGCAGGCTTTGGGTCCCCTGGTAACTTACGACCTGCATGCGCCATGACTCATCAGGTGTCGTAAGTCCAATCGCATTCCTCCCTGTGCCGCGCAACTTGGATCTGGAAGCAGCTTGTTGAGGGCAAAGGACAAAAGCTTGGGCGGATGGCTCGTTTAAGTTTCATTTAGGCCGCGCCAGCATTGTCGTCGCCATGGCAAAGTGCTCCATTGAAACAGAGAACCAATTCGGTCCTGCTGCCGACTGTTATGGAGGGTTTGACTTCACGCTATTATTTGAAGAGACAGTCCTCACAATTATTCCCGCGACAATAGTACTGTTGCTACTGCCGTTTCTCGTCGCTGATAAGCTCGAGTGCAGTACCAAAGTTGCGCGGACATGGTCTCATAGTGTAAAGCTGGTAAGAGATCTTCGACCTCGCAATAGCCAAGCGTGGAACAAAAGTGTAAGACACTAACTGAATTATAGGCAACATGGGCTGCCTTGGAAGTTTCGTATTTCGTGCTATTGGGATTGAGTGTGCATCCACATAGTCCAAAGACTAGAGCATCTATCGCCGCCAATACACTGGTCCCCGTTCTGGGTCTCGGTTTGGCATTGCTGTCGCATTTGCATCATTTGCGAAGCGCTCGCCCATCCACTGTTATCATTCCGTATCTTGGTTTGACCTTGGTCTTTGATGTTGCTCGCTGCCGGACATTATTGGCACTTGTGGAGGGAGAGTCTACAGCCATAGCGTTTGGTGTCGCCGTCGGACTGAAGACACTCCTACTGTTGCTTGAGTCAATAGAGAAGCACAACATTTTGCTTCCAGAGTACCAGAAGCTACCGCCAGAGTCGATCGCTAGCGAATTTGACCAATGGTTTGCCTGGTGGATCAATCCAGTCCTCCTTAGAGGATATAGACGAGAACTTGAGCTAAAATCGCTGGACGATGTGGATCAGAACTTGCGAACAGGCGAGGAATTCGAAAGCTTTATTATCGCTGGGGTGCCTGTAAGTGGCCTTTTGAAGCAGAATGCCAATCATGGTTCTAAATTTTGACTGGAAATTTTTGATCGCGTCTCTAGGCAAGTTCAAAAAGCGACCTAGGGCGCTGCTGTTAGCTTGTATGCTACATAACAAAGCTCTCCTGCTGAAGGGATTGATACCTCGTGCCTGTCAGACTGGGCTTACATTTTCACAACCCTTTCTCATCGAGCGCTTAGTATCCTACATTCAAACTCCGGAGTTGACAGAACGATCAGCATTTGGCACCGGCCTCATCATCTCGTATGCCATCGTATACACTGGTATTGCCGTATCAACGGCTCTGACCCAGCACTGGACTCTCCAACTCATCGCCAAAATGCGAGCCGACCTCATCGATGTCATTTATCGCCACACTCTCAGAATTCGCTCGACTTCTTTACAAGACGCCGACTCTGTCACATTGATGAGTGCTGATGTGGAGAGGATCGTGACGGGCTTTAGGACTATGCATGAGCTATGGGCGTCGCCCATTGAAGTTGGCCTTGTTCTATGGTTGTTACACGCACAACTTGGTCTCGCTCTCGTGGGACCTGCTGGCACCGTCATTATCTGTGCTGCTTCGGGGGCCGTGGTGGCCTCTGGCGCTCCGGTAGCCCAGAAGGCCTGGCTCGACTCTATCCAGATTCGCTTGGCAGCCACGGCGTCGATGCTCAACGTCATGAAAGCCGTTAAGATGACTGGACTTGCTGATAAACTGGGTAAAACAATCACCAATATTCGTGAACAGGAGGTTCAGATTTCATTTGGGTACAGACTCGTATTGCTCAAGATAGTTTCTATTTCTTACTTGAGTATTGCTCTATCTCCGGTCGGCGCCTTCGGTATCTACATCTTGTTACAGCGGTACATGGGTTACAGCATCTTGGATGTCACCAAGGCCATAACGACGCTAACTCTCTTGCAGCTTATGATTGCTCCCATGTCGCTTTTTGTGGAAGGCCTAGGTGGCGTTATGGGTGCCGTTGGATGCTTCCAAAGAATTCAGCAATATTTGAACACCGACATGCGTATTGACAACAGGATCTTCAGCCAGTTCTATCATCGAGATTCCATTCAATCGAAATCATTTATGCCGAAAACAAGTTCCAGCAGAGCAGGTTCCCTGAATGAAACTCTTGTTAATGACAATGCCAAAAGCTTGTCTCACCACGAGAAGAAAGAGGCGCGGTCCAATAAAACTTACGAGCTGGAGGAACTTACCGAAACGACACGGTTGGCCACTCCCCAAGAACCCCGAGAAAGCGCAGTTGCAATAAGAGTTCAGCATGTTTCCGCCCGATGGAAGGATCATCGACCTTTCATCTTGCATGATCTGAACTTCGACATTCCTCTTGGCAAACTGACAATGGTTGTTGGCCCTGTTGGTAGTGGCAAATCTACCCTCCTTCATACATTATTGGGCGAAACACTCATCTCAACTGGTTCCATAATTTCAGCCTTTCCAGATGCCGCCTTCTGTACGCAGTCATCTTGGATTATTAATGCTACCCTCCAGAAGAATATTCTTGGATCTCTACCCCTTGATCCAGACTGGTATTCCACCGTGTTGAATGCCTGTGCTCTTTCTCAGGACATAAGTCAATTCCCACAAGGCGACAACATGCTTGTAGGGAGTAATGGTATCAGTCTCAGCGGCGGACAACAAATGCGCCTTACTCTTGCTAGAGCCTTGTACTCTCGCAAGCAAATGGTGATAATGGATGATGTCCTCAGTAGGCTTGACGCCACAACTGAAAAGTTGGTGTTTGCATCGGTCTTCTCCAAATCCGGACTGCTACGACGTCATAAAATGACTGCAGTTCTCGCTACTAATTTGCTCATCGCTTAGCCGAAGCAGATCTGATCGTAGCACTCGGTTCAGATGGTACCGTCGCTCAACTGGGAACCTATGATGAGTTATCAAGCTCCGAAGGATACGTGTCAAACCTTCAAATACAGGATCGACAAGATGATAGTATGCAAAGCAGCGGATTATGCCTCCCAACTGAGGCTGTTCGGGAAGCTCTCTCCAAAGCACTCCCGGAAGTCAATGCCGCTGATGCTTCCATTAGCGATCTGGATACGTACAAGTATTATATTGAGTGCTTTGGATGGGTCAGATGGTCAATATTTGTTGTAATTTGTGCCATGTTTGCATTCTTCTCCACATTCCCACAGGTGTGGCTGAAGTGGTGGGCAGCAGACAACATGCAGTATCCAAACACAAACGCTGCTTATTACTGGGGTATATATCTTCTTCTTGGCGTTCTGACTGTTGTTAGTCTTGGATCTGCTGCCGGGTAAGTTGTAAAAGGGCCGTACTATACGAAGACGAATATTTGCTGATTTATTGTGTATTAGGTTCCTCATCACCGGCCTAGCTCCTCGCGTTGCGCTGACTCTACACAAACGCCTCCTTTCTACCGTAATGAATGCTCCAATGTCTCTATTTTACACCTCGGATACTGGCTCTATTACCAACCGATTCAATCAGGATATGGAGCTTATTGACATGGATCTTCCTTTGTCATTGATCAACACGGTGGTTATGATATTTGTTCTCATTGCGCGAGCCATCTTTATCGCCGCTACTGGCAAATACGTCGGAGCCGCACTTTTTTTCTGTGTCCTGGCTGTTTATGTCCTCCAGAGTTTCTACCTGCGAACGTCGCGCACATTAAGGCTGCTCGACATTGAATCAAGGTCTATCCTCCTCGCGCACTTCCTTGAAACTCTGGGGGGCCTGGTCATACTCAGGGCATACAAATGGGATCGGTACTTTATCGAGCGTAACAATGAACTTATTGACATTGTACAAAGGCCTTTTTACCTCTTGTTAAGCGTTCAGAGATGGCTTAGTCTTGTCCTGGACCTTATGGTTGGTGGTATAGCCATAGTTCTCGCCACTATTGCTGTGCAGGCACGAGGACTGGATGTCGGATTACTAGGTTTGGCTCTGGTTAGCATTGTTGGCTTCAGCGCTGGTCTGAAACAACTCATCATTCACTGGACTATGCTCGAAACATCAGCAGGTGCTATAACCCGAGTCAAGTCATTTGTTTCCACCGTCGGATGCGAGAACCTTCCCCCCGAGCGAGAAGCCGTCTCTGAGAGTTGGCCCCAGTTTGGATCTGTGGCATACCGTAACGTAATGGCCTCATATGGAAAGGACTCTGGGCCCGTCCTTAAAGGCGTTTCACTTACCATCGAGCCTGGTCAACATATAGGCATTTGTGGTCGCAGCGGAAGTGGCAAGAGTTCTTTGATAGCTTGTCTTTTTCGCCTTTTAGAACAAAACAACGGTTCCATTCATGTCGATGGCGTTGATATATCAACAATTCCGCGGCAGCAAGTACGAGAGCGACTGATCGCCCTACCGCAAGATGCGTATATCTTTCCTGGAACAGTTCGTTTCAACGTTGACCCTATTGGTGATAATGACGACGCGAATATCATACAGGCGCTCGAGAAAGTTGGGCTGTGGGAAATGCTCTGCACTGACGAGGTCGGTGGTTTGGATGGGAAATTACCGCAGGATCTACTCTCACATGGTCAGCGTCAACTGATGTGTCTAGCGCGGGCGATGGTGCGGCGCTCTTCTATTCTTGTCTTGGACGAGGCAACGGCTGCCGTTGACAGTGAGACGGAGGCACTCATACAGCACATTATCCAAGAGCGCTTTAAAAGCTATACTATCATCGCTGTTGCACATCGTCTGGATACAATCCGGGAGTTTGACCGCGTTGCAGTCATGGATGCCGGCTCCATAGTAGAATGGGGAGATCCAGTCACATTATTGCGGAGAGAAAGTGCTTTTCGTACGCTTTACAACGATTTGAAGGGCGTTGCGGGGAAGCCTGGCCCTGAATGAAGATTCCTCTACCTCGATACAGTACACTTCAAGGTAATCTTATCATACCAAGTTTACATATTTCCAGATCCAGACGTAATCTATCAGCATGGCCCCGCCGTGGAAGATTCCAGAATTCAGCAATGAAGCAGGCCGTGGAGTGACTCCTCGCACCACTAAGATGAATTGTACAAGAACACAGTCCATACACATTAGTTCGACTAACTAAACCAGCTGTACATGAAACACTTTTCACGATAAACTCGAGATTTCTTTACCATTACCTGACTGTTTCAGATTGAGTAAACTGTCCCAGAGTCCAGATTATCCACGACATTGTTATATCTTCCTGTAAAGCTGAAAAGCGCACTCGCGAAACCAGTGCCAACATGAATTTGCGAGGAACGGGCCGTTAGCGACTCAGGGGCAGAAACTCGAGCCAGGGACCATTTTTCTGTCCTGCAATGTGTTCACGCAGCTGATACTCATTCTCAGGTTGTCTACCTCGGCAGCTTGCTGCTGCTCCTTGCTTACCTCGACCAATCCGTCCCAACTCTCCTGCAGCAAAACGAAAGTCTCCTCGGCGGAGGATGGTCCCAATGGTGATGGCAATTTCATGGTAAGCAAGGCTTTTACCAACACAAGACCGCGTTCCGAGTGAGAACGGATTGAAGGCGGCACGGGCTCGCTCGATGCTGTCGCCGGAGCCATCGTCCTCGATCCAACGCTCTGGTCGGTAGACAAACGGATCAGCGTAGCAGCGACCATCATGATGTATCGCGTAAATGCCCACACCAGTATTGCAACCGGCTCCTATGCGGCTTCCGTCCACGAGGAGGCTATTTGGAGCGACTACCTCTCGACCGAGCACGGCACCGTTTGGCGGTGACATGCGCATTGCCTCATCTATACAAGCGCGCAGATATATGCACGATTGGAAGGCTGCTTCGGAACTTGCGCGCACCCCCGCTGCCAGTCGATCGTATACGAATTTGTTGTCAGCCAAATAGAAAAGGACAGATGCAATGGCAGTTGACGACGTCTCTGACCCAGCCACGATGAGGGTGACGCTCTCGGATGCCAGCTCCTCTTGCCCAAAACTCCTTCCTGTCTTGGAGTCTCGAGCTGAAGACAGTGCCTCGAACACATCGCCACCAGTTCCTCCTTCAATGGCGTCTGGGCTAGGCTCCTGTTCGTCGAGTTGAATGCCGCTGAGCTCCAGCTTTGTCCCTCGCTGGATGCGTTCCCGCACGCAACGCACCACGAATTTTAAGAAGCGGTAACGCGCAATGATGGCGTCACGGAAGAAGTAGCGGTCCATGTTAAACGAAGAAAGCCAGGGAATAATGACTAGGACCGACATGCGTACATTGGACTTGGAAATAGCCTCAGGGACATATCGAAATCGTTCAGAGCCGAGCAGATTGTAATACGCACTGAACACAACGTCAGACATGACGTCAAACGTCAACCAATTGCACCAACGGCCCATATCCAAAGAGGCACTCCATTGGCCAGCCGCAAGAGTTTCCTGATACAATATATCGCAAAGTTTGTTCACGTGTACTTTAATGCGGTCTTCGTAGCCTCTCTGTGCCTTCTCCGACACTGTCTGAGAAACTATACGTCGTCTGCGTAAATGGTCTTTCCTATCGCGTGACGTGAACGAACTGGGCGTCTTGTGTTCTAATGGTACGTAGTGCTTGCTCTTTATAACACTTGAAGATGAGCCAACCCCATATATGTCTTGGAGTCCTGCTGCTGAACAAACCAAGACCAAGTTTGGGCCATATCGGACGAAGTCACCTATTGACCAGAATACTAGTTACCAACTGCAGCTACCAATGCAGGAAGTTACCAGGAAGCACTTACCGTATTTTTGATGATCCTCCCATATTTTCAAATGAATATCACCTCGCCAAGCATAGTACGCGTAATATATGTCTGTGAGCTTGGCTAAAAGCGGCCCGGGGTATATAGCAAGTGGGTGGACGTATACCAAGTACAGCGCCCTCGCAAGAACCTGCACACAAGAATTAGGACATCTGTCACTTTCGGATGCTTATATCAAACCTGATGCCTACCCAGGTAGCCACAACGGCTGGGAGGAGAACTACGATCAACATCGTATCGATTGCAATTCCTGATTCTTAACGAAGTCTGTATTTCGGAAGTTGTATTCCGGAAAATAATTGAGATATGTGCCTGTATAGATCTTTGACTCGCAGGCCACGTTTTCTAACTGCGTGTATCCAGCCTCATGCATGACAGGGCCTAGGTTTCATGGTCGTAGAATTGCATAGTAAGCAATAATACATAGCGGGGACTTTTCCCCTCCGTGGATAGACACCCCATCTCATGTCGTATGATCTATGCCACCTCAGGCGAATCCAACCGATTTAACACTACACAGTGCTTAATATTGCTGTCGCCTAGAGACTAAATGTAGTAATACAGATACAAAATGTCCTTGATTCAAGCGTGAGTGTCTTTCCATTATAGATTGTGTGAATTGAAGATAATACCATGCGGGCAATTTCGGCATAGTCATTGAGCCAATTTTTGCCGTTTCTCTTACACTATGACTGGGTGCTAAAATGTGAGACACCATATTGCTTGTCACATTATAAGAGGCACTAATTATCACGATAATATATATATATAAGTTAATCCATCCAACCTTCCTCATTGAGGTTTGAGAGGTTTGAAATATGATTATTCCAGTAGCTTGAAAATGCAGGGCTAATCGAGGCTGTTGCAGCTACGAAATCCAGGGTTGGTCGAAGCCCTTTCGCATCAGGCAGGTCGATTTGACGAGCTTCCGCTAGCACCTTCTGCCAGCTTGTGATCCAAGCCTCGATTTTCGTACGATTAGAGCTGCATTTTCAAGCTACTGGAATAATCATATTTCAAACCTCTCAAACCTCAATGAGGAAGGTTGGATGGACAAGGTCCCAGACGGCTTTCGGATTAGTGACCTGTATGAACAGCATTACCGGCGTCAAAAAGCCACGGAAGGCAAGGGCGGTTTTTCGTCCTCCACCTTCCAAGGAAGCCCATCATCATCAGAGACCCCAAATTCATCGCAGGCACCTAGCCAACCTAAAAACAGTCAGCAAAAAAGGACAATTCCACTCTTCAATCTGCTTCCATAGCTGACTATCACGTTGACAGCTATGGAAGCAGATTGAAGAGTGGAATTGTCCTTGGGATTGAAGCTATCTAGGTACGGAAAACAGGCCCTTATTTATAGATATCAAGGTCGTCTAACAGGTCACCTAGAAAGTCATCAATTTGAGGGGTTCTACGGTATCCAGCTATTGAAGGTCCGGCTTCAATGGGGTGGTGGCGCGAGCCTTCTTTTGAAGCTTTTCGTACAATCGGAAAGCAGCTATTTGAGGCGTTTTGGGGCTTATCGGGGTCCCCGATAAATAGCAGCCTTTTTCCATTGAAAGGGGCCTTTGGCGTTGACATATAATTAAAAGCTTACCCTTATTAAGGTACAAGTACATAATTTATACTCGTAATAAGTAACCTATTTTAACATTACTTTTGCTACGCTAGCACTCTCTAGCTAGCCTTTTTTCCTTATACACATGATCAAGCTCTTCACTTCTTTTAGCTCTCTTACAATACAACTTGTCAGTTGCATCACGAGCTCTTGTAACCTCGCTATAGCTCTCTTCCGCGGTCCCTCACATAAAACCTCCCAACGACGACAATCTTGTACAAAAAAACTGCTAGAGAGAATTTGAGCAGTGTGGCTTTGTAAATTTTGGAAACTATCGTATTCAGAACTGGTTGAATCAATGGGTACACCTGCCTGTCCTAACTACTCGAGATCTCTGATCCCACCACGAATAAGAGTAGAAATTGAGAATGATATCCATAGCAAGTAATTACGACAGCAGGAAACCTCCCTTACTACACGAGATATGAGTAAATATAGAGTTTATCTATACACCTAACAACTATGCGCAAGGAAAAGAGTCGAATGGTTTTGACGGTTTTCAGAATACAACAGCATGTACGTCATCAACTTGAATCTGCATACCCTGGTCGTATTTCTCATTTCATTTAGGGTCCGATTAACAAGCATCCTCTCTGAGTTATCAAGCACCCCCATTATTATCTTTTTATATTATTAAGTAGCTTTTAAAGCTATTAATTAAATAATTTAAAAGCTTAAATTAACCTATAATATAAAGAACCTTAGTAAGCTATAATAGTTTCTAGGTATTTAAGTCCTTTAAAATAAAGCTACTCGTAAGCTTTAGTTATATTAGAATTTTTATATTAAAAAACTAGCTACGAAATCTAATATCCCTAAAAGAGATAGCTTTAAAGAAAGTTTAATACCTAAAAATTAATTAAAACTTAATTTAGGTATTATAACTATTAGTATTATAATTACTAATTAAATTCATTAATATTAGCAGATAATTAGCTCTATTAATTATATCGCGGTTATTAAAAGACCTAATATAGCTAAACTAGTAGCTAAGCTAGCTAAATTTCTCTTTAATTTATTAAAAACCTACTAATAAGTCGTTAATTAAGTTATTAAGTACCTGTATTTAACGCGATACCTAGTAATTAAATTTAATGAAAATCCTAATAACTTAAAGCTTTAAATAGCTTTTAATATTACCTTTATAAACGACTAATAGACCTAAAAGCTATTATAAGGCTTAATAATTCGATTATTTAATAGACCTATTAGTTAAACGATTAGCAAGTAAAATACAATTATAATATCGTCTATTAAAGCCGAATTATTAGCTTTTACATATATAGCTAAAGAGACTATTACGATATGCTTTATTAAGTAATTAAAGCTTATTAACATTATTAATATTATTAAAAGAGCTTAAATTAACTAATTTAGCTTACCTTAATAGCTATTAATAGCTTTAATAGCTAACTATTAACCTAATTCATAGGGGTGTATTAATGTTAAAGGCCCCTTTTAATAGAAAAAGGCTACTATTTATTAGGGACTCTAATAAGCGCTAAAACGCCTTAAATAACTGCTTTTTAATTATACGAAAAGCCTTAAAAGAAGGCTCGCACTACCACTCTATTAAAGCCGAACCTTTAATAGCTAGATACCGTAGAACCCCTTAAATTAATTACTTTTTAGGTGACCTATTAGACGACCTTAATATCTATAAATAAGGGCCTATTTTCCGAACCTAGATAGCTTTAATCCCAAGGATAATTCCACTATTTAATCTGCTTTCATAGCTGTTAACGTCATAACTCGCTTTAAGTTCTCCGACTATCAAAGCTGCTTCGCCTCAGTTTAGGAGCAGAGAGCGTCTCTCTGGACCAGAATACAGTCGCTCCACGAGTCATCTACGCAAATCCGACCCCCAGGGCCTTGGCTGCGAGACTTTTCAAAGTTTCGACTGGCAAGGATTTACAAAATGACGAAACTGTTGACGAGGTGGAAGCACTAGCGGAGATGGTTTTGCGGTACACGACCCGTCTTCCGCCACCAACTTTGATTCAAGCCCAACCAGCCGACGAGGGGCAAACGGTGTTGATAACAGGGACCACTGGACCGCTGGGAGCCTATATTGTCGACGGACTGTTTTCAAACCGAGAGTTAGCAAGGTAGTCGCTTTGAACCAAGGGGACGACGGCGGCCAATCGCGCCAACTGGCTCTCAACTCGGCCAGAGGCCTGGCTGAAGACTTTTCCAAAAGTTGAGTTTCTCGACGTTGATCTGTCTTAGCAAGGCCGGGATCTTGATCCTACCAAGTACAAGGAGCTGCTCATAAACGCAGATCGTATCATTCACAATGCGTGGCCCGTCAACTTTATCATTAGCGTCTCATCATTCAAACCACATATCCGAGGCGCGCATCACCTAGTGGATTTCTGCAGCAAGGCCTCCAAACGCGTGCCAATCATCTTCATCTCCAGTGCCAGTACCGCCTCTTCATGGTCATCAAATGAGCTTATGCCGGAGCGTCAGCTAAGCGACTTGGGTCTTGCACAAATGGGCTACGGCCAGTCCAAACTAGCCGGCAGTCTCATTCTAGACGCCGCGGCGGAGATGTAGTTCTAACGGCGATTATTCGAGCGGGCCAAATTGGAGGTCTCAGGGGCGAGTTGGGGATGTGGAATAAACAAGGATACATTCCTAGCTTGGTGGCCAGCTCCATTCACCTGGGCATGCTTCCAGATAGCATCCGTCCGTGGAATGTCGTCGACTGGATTCCGGTGGATGACATTGCGGGACTCGTGGTAGACATTGGCGGCATAACCGAGCAAAAGGTCATGTCCGACATTTCGGGATATTTCCACGGAATCAACCCGCACAGGACGAGGACCGTGAAGCATAGTGTTACGATGAAGAATCTGGGTCCTATAACTGAGGAGCTGGTGAGGAACTGGTGCAAACAGTGGAAGTATTAGGGCTAGTTGTAATACTTTTCTTAAAGGGTTATCATTAACTTCAGAAGTAAAGATTACCAGAGGCGGGATGTTTGATTATCAGATATAGACAGGTAGAAGTAGCCTGGAATTATCACGAATTGCATTATATGCCAAATTGCTCAACATGAGGTTTGAAAAGAGCATAAGCAATCTCACAAGTCGAACTGAAGTTCGCAATGAGATGCCGTTTTAAATAGATAACGTCATTCTTATCTAAGCTACTGCCGTTAGAGTTCTGCATGATAAATGGTCTAGCATGAGGAGTCCTTACGGATAAATTGTATCAATGGCGTCAACGTCGGGGTCGGGGCCTTCACGCGCGCAGTGACAACACATTACTCACAGGATGCCAATCATGCAGCACAAGCCCTGAGAACAAGTAGCGCTGCTTGCATTCGTCCAACATCGGCATGGACACATACGCGGACAAGGGCACGGAGTCTTAGTCTAAGACAACACGAGGTTATGCAGCTAGACCGCCAACCTGGACGAATGTCATGCCGGCTTGAGCCGTGTTAACAGGAACCAACGTTCTATTCCCGTTATGCATATGCCTTCTGCATCAGCCTAACGTGTTGGTTCTCTGGGGTCCGCGTGTAGCAAGCTGCTTCGCCACCATGACTTGCCTCTGGTTTTAGCGGTGAACTTCCCGTTTTGGACACAAACGGGTGTAAGTTCACGACCTGGCCCCATATAAATCAACTTGAACAAGGCAGAGGCAAGGATCCCGATTTGGCTGTTGAGTTGGGTTGACGCGTGGCCAAGACGGGTTATGAAGTCATGACGCCTTGTTGGACGGCACCACGTGGACAGACAATGGCCTTTGTGATTGTGTTGGTAATTTGAGTGTAAAGATGATTTAACAAATTGTGGACGAGTGGACTGTGCCGAATGTGACTCTCGTGTCTATTCCCGGTCAATCAGCTGGAGCCATATGTTAGGTCGGTCAACAGTTGCCAAATTCAAAGTCGCTGAGTCGCAAGAGAACAAGTGAAAACCTGCCGAAACGCTTCAAGTCATAGCCTCGACCGGAGGTTTTATTAGCGGAACCAAAGATGCCCCTTGAAGTCTCAGTGAAAGCTGGTCATGAATCAAGTTGCCGTCGTTTGGAGTCTGACCAACGAGTCCCTTGTTGGGCGCAGTACGGCGCAACGGGAACAAAGGCCAGTCAGCATTCGTCGCGGCTGAGAAGTGGTGTCAGTGCAGGTAGACGTGACACATGAATTCCGACCCGTGACTACAAGCTGCTCTCCATGTCTACGAGACACCAGACCATATATACCGATGGAAGCATCTCATGCAAGGCTGCAGGTGCAGACTTGTGCCACTCGACCAGCAACGCTCTTTTGAAAGAACATAAATAGAATGTTATCACGATGGACAGCTATGGAGTGATTTAAAAGAGTGGAATTGTCCTTGGGATTGAAGCTATCTAGGTACGGAAAACAGGCCCTATTTATAGATATCCGGGCTCATAACTATCACGATGGACAGCTATGGAGTGATTTAAAAGAGTGGAATTGTCCTTGTGGGTTGATTGGATTAACAACGCGGCTGGCACGTGTCTTTGGATGTGTTCAATTTTATCGATTTGGGCGTTTTCTGCGTTTTTGGCGTTTCTGGGCTTGTTGGGCTGCCTTTGAGGCTGTTGGGGCCTTCGAATTTGGCCCGAAAACGCGACGCCTGTGATATCTGGTTTTTCGGGCTGCTTTTGGTCAATTTGATCAGAAGCCCGTTGACGGGCTCGATCGACCTTTTCCTTGACAGCCGGGTCTAGCAGCTTTTGTTGAATTTGAGCCTCGATTTCGGCGTCGGGCTTCCATGTTGGGTCTCTGAGAGGCTCGTTGAGGTACAGACACTGACGATAGTAGTGTTTTTGACCACAAAGGCAAGTTGGGGCTGTTTTTGACCCTTTTGACCCTTTTTGCTCGTTTTTGGATTGGCTAGGCGTTGAATTTGGGCTTCCTTGGAAGGTAGACGCCGAAAAACCGCCTTTGCCTTCAGTGGCCTTCTGCTGCCGGTAATGCTGTTCAAACAGATCACTAATCCGAAAGCCGTCTGGGACCTTGTCCATCCAGCCTTCCTCATTAAGGTTTGAGAGGTTTGAGATGTGGTTATTCCAATAGTTGGAAAAGGCAGGGCTAATTGAAGCTGTTGCAGCTAGAAAATCTAGGCTCGGCCGTAGCCCTCTCGAATTAGGAAGGTCGATTTGACGAGCTTCCGCCAGGACCTTCTGCTAGCTTGTGATCCAAGCCTCGATTTTCGTACGATTTGCCCCCTTTAATACCGACTTGTATCTCGTCAGGACCTCTTTTCGAATTCCCAGACTGTGGGCTTTAGTCGACCCTGAAGCAGCTGGAGCTGCCTTAAAACGCTGTCTTCAGTAGCTATCATATCGTAATAGCTACCGACGGTCTTGATGATGTGTTGTTGGACGATTAACAGGGCCTTCTGTTGCCTTTGATAGGTTTGAAGGTCAACCCGATAGTCGTTTTGGAGGGATTCAAGCCTCTTGAATTGAGCGTCGTTAAGGTCTGTGATTGTCACGGCCTCAGGCTTGACATCGCTAGGTTTAGGCTTTTCAGGAAGGTTGATAGCTGTCCTAGTGGGCTGTTGAGGGTCAATTAGGTCCCAAATACCCAGGTTGACGGCGTACTTCCTGATAATTGATATCCACTGAAACCAGCTTCCTGAACCTGTTAGGGTCACTGATGAAGGACCTTCAATATCCATAGCTAGGTTGGTTGAGGCCTTTGACGAAGACCTAGGTTATGTAGCAATTTGATGTGTAAAGATTCCGGGAAGTTGTGGCAGACCCGGGCTCATAACTATCACGATGGACAGCTATGAAGTGATTTAAAAGAGTGGAATTGTCCTTGGGATTGAAGCTATCTAGGTACGGAAAACAGGCCCTATTTATAGATATCAAGGTCGTCTAGCAGGTCACCTAGAAAGTCATCAATTCGAGGGATTTTGCGGTATCTAGCTATTGAAGGTTCGGCTTCAATAGGGTGGTGGCGCGAGCCTTTTGGAGGCTTTTCGTACAATCGGAAGGCAGCTATTTGAGGCTTTCTAGGGCTTTTCGGGGTCCCCGATGAATAGCAGCCTTTTTCCATTGAAAGGGGCCTTTGGCGTTGACAAATGTTGATTAGGAACAACCCTTAGAATCGACTAATCTTATTTTTAGCCCTTTGTATCTCCGTTGCCTGTTTTTCCGTTTCCACGCTGCGAGGTTTTTGGGCTGGCGAATTCATTCTCGAACGCAACCTTCTTCTTCTCACCGAGGCTTTCACCGTCCAGCATGGAAACAACTCGCACCCTGCCTCTTCCATCGAGAAAATACCTAGAATTATTCACCAAGTATACAAGACCAAGACAATCCCGAAAAGTGGTCCGAGGCACACCACCTGCCGGAAACTGGACTCATTTTCTTTGGCCGGATGAAAAAGGACGAGATTTTATAAGATCTTTCTATTCTTGGTTTCTACCCGTAAAAGACAGTAATCTCTACAATTTGCAACGGTTCGATGCTCCTCGGTACCTGCTACCTCACCATTACGGCGGAATATATCTCGATCTGGATGTAGGCTGCAAGAAGGACCTCTCGCCCCTTTTGAAGTACCATGCTTTCTTTGGCAAGACGGTCCGTATGGAGATAGCAATGACGTTTTGGCCTCCGAGAAGTGTTCCGAGTTGTTGCCCCTCAAGCGGAATAATCATTACCGCGGAACCAAGTATCCAACGGTCATGATGTCTACCGGCCCAACGGGTCCTCGTAGACTTTCTGAGAGCCAAGAGTCACAATGGGACGACGGAAGTTTCTGGAGACGTAAGAGACTTGCCCGTGGCTATTCTTTCTCCAGAGCTATATGGGATGTCTCCCGTCTCGTACTTTGAGCACTACCCTGGTTCATCATGGCATGGCTGGGACGTTTGGGTCTTGAGCAACATAAACCGTCGACCAATTCTTTTTTTTTTCAGCTGTTTACTTACCTTGGTGGGGATATTACATTTAGTTCGAAGAGGAGGAGAATAGTCGTTTGACTTGAGCTGATCGATGGCTACTCATTACAGCGAATATACCTAAATGCCAAGCACAACGCACTTGTTCTTTATAACTGTTGCCATATTGTTATGCACTTCTTTCATTTTTTTTTATTAAAATTTCCATATTTTCCAATAGAATTAATAGCGTTAGTACATCGTCTTTTGTGGGAATATAGAATTTGAATCTCACGCTTCGTTGCGTGGAATATGAAAATACCCTGCTACCGATAAGTTGCAGGTAGATAAATGTGAATTCGGACTATTTTATAATCAGCTAGGGACACAGTTACAATGTGTTAAATGGAGCTGTCAAGAGTTTGATCGAAAAGCTTCCCCGACTCACAGCAATACTTTGGTTTTCTTCCACGAGAGAAAAATGACAAAGGACAAGGGATATCGAAGCATCCGTACACATAAGGGGCTAGCTATCTCAGTGCTACAAGTCTGGTATGCCCACGAAGTCACTTGCAAGGAACAGAAAGGTAAACAAGAATCATAGTCGCCTCGTAAACTAGCATTACTCCAAGTGTAATAGCCGCCCACGAGCCTCGACCTTCTTCATGTCTTTCTTTTAATCCTCTATCTTCTTGGCGGTCTCCAAAGCCTCGGTTAGTCCTGGTATGATGTCCAAGGGCGTGCGGCCCCGTTGTCCATCGCACGGCTTCAAGTCCGCCGCATATCTTGTATGGTCAGTAATATTGCAACCAGAGAGTAAAATTCCCTTCGACAGCTTCGCACAGGATGCACTCGTGCAGTCTTTTTCACTGCTACACACCTGCCGGCCCGTCGTGTACAACCCCCGAGGCCCCTCAACGCCGTCTGCGTACCAGTACTCGGGAGAAATGTGCTTATATGTCTTTGGGGAGAGGGGATTCTTGGGGATCGCCGTAACGGGATCCCTGGCGTTGGTGATGCGCGCAGTGAAGCCACCCCCTTGCGAGGATACGAATTCAGCAAATCTGTCGTTGCCGACCAGCGGCGAGCCATAGAGATACATGTCGAGGGACATGCCTTGCTTGCGAAGAGATGAACCGGCTATGGTCGCTACAGCCGCGCCGAGAGAATGGCCAGTCACGACAAGGCGCCAGTTTTCTTGGCCAGGGACTGCTTTTTCTGTCTTGATTGTTTGCTCAAGCTGACCTTTAAGCTGATCAAACGCACTGCCAAAGCCTTTATGAACTTTGCACCCTGCACAAAGGTCACTGCCTGACATTAGCTTCAGTCGATATGTTGTGGGTATATACTGGACTCAACATGAGGTAGACATTACCTATCAATCTGGCCTATAGCCGCATCCGTTGCAATGTCACCGGCAGAATCAGTTCCCTTGAGAACCACTGCAATATGCTGCTTGCTCGGGTTTTTCGCGACGTAACCCCCAACTTGAAATCGGCCATTGGCAGTAAATTCTGCAACTGTACTGGCGTTTTCAAAGTTCAGGCATGAAGTTTTGTCCAAGTTGGTGCAGACAGGTGTGTTGAGGGATGTGTCGTGTAGACGCGTGCAGTACGACGAGAAGGAATACTGCGCGAACAGCTGGAACTGCTCTGGGGAGTCCAAGTCTCCGGATACTATCAACATTAGTCATTGTCAACTTTTGAAAATCGACAAATTGTATTCTGCACACCTTGACGAGTAGCAACGGCACGACCCGCGGCCCCGTGGGCGGCGGCCAGAGCCGAGACTATGAGCTCTGGACGCATTTTGCCGTCTCAGTAATGCTGAGCACCATAACAACGCGGCTAATGAGAGTTATATAGATGTCAGTAATGCTACAAGTCCCAGAAATTTAACCTCCCTCTCTGCCTTGAAATTAGTGGCGCTTGGGCTGCATTATACTAAAAAACAGGGTTTAAAAAAGCTACCCCAGTCGCGGAATCATCCCGGGAATAGTTGTTGGTTTTCACAAGCTTCAATCCTGTTTCAGGATACTGGAGCAGACAATGCCGCTCGTGCATCCCACTACATTCCCGAGCATAGTGAAGTGGGTTCCGGACATGACTCGTGGCAATGTCCTGAGACCGCCTCGAAGCTAATTGTGGCTCGAGGGATCAGGTTTACTATAAAGTTCTACGTGACACGTGTGGTCTAACGCTCGCAGTCTTACAGAAATTACATGTGAACTTTATATCTGAATCGTTAAGCACCATATTACATGTTAGAATTACCTACCCCCCGACAAATGTTCTCCGCCACACTCCGCTACCTGAGGAACTCTCTAGTCAGATACGCGTATCCGGTTATCAACTGCTACTAATGTGCTAACCAAAATTCTGACGAATTCTAATCTATAAATAGTAATTGATTGTGGTGATTGCGTCGGAGAGTCATTTTGGAGTTTCTCAGTCAAGAATGTATTCCGACAGGGAACTTGAAGCTCGGAGAAACTTCCCGATCTGGAAAATACAATACGCTCGAGGCAGCTTGTCGACTCCGAGCACAAATCACACAACCATGGGCGAGTATGATCATCTCGGCTTGTCCAATGCGTCGGAGACTCGGTGACTCTGTCAGGGCAACAGATGAAGCAACCAGTCGGCATGTCGAGATCCAAGCGCGCGGTGTAGATGGCATTTGGAAAGAAGGAAATACTGACACCGCATATACGTGGAAAGATGCATGTCACTGTTGTGTCTCTTCCCCGCCATGAGAAGCTTGGAGACCATCAACCGCCTTGATTCAGCTTCGCGTACGTCGTCAACTGGTTCGAGGCTATGAGGCTTTGCGCATAGCCTTCTTGGCTTGAAAGGAAGCCTTTCCTATTCCATCTGAATATCGCGTCAAAGCCGAGACAAGTTTGCAAGCATGTGAAAAAAATTTCCCGGAATTCGGAGCTCTGAAGGCAGACACACAGCAATTCGTCTCAAGCTTCCTTCAGATTATCGGCCGATCTTGCCTCGCGTCTGTTGAAAAATGTCGGCTTCTCTGTGATCGACACAATTAGATGAATAATAAGATATTGATTTAGTAGATTGTAAAGGGTAACGAGTAAAATGAGGAATAACTACTTCTAATCCACTGAGAAACATGAAGGCTCTTAATTCCTTGCCGAGACAGTCAAAGAGTCGGCAGCTAGGCATGAAATGCGCCTGCCTAGTGTCATCCGAATGGACTATGATAAGAGGCATTTAGAGCCACCTTAATTTTGGTCAGTCTGGTACTCACAAAAGGGGATATGGCTTGAATGTCATTACGAATCGAGATTGCCAGGCCGTGTCTTGAACGAGTTTACGACTGCCAACCCCGCCATCGTTGTTGCATTGGAGCATGATGGCCAAGTATGCAGCATGTTTTGTGGTTGTAGGGAACGGCTCGTCTTTCTCCATGTCATACAAAGCTTTTCATCATAAACCACGCTCCTTGGAGGTAATGGTCGTCTGGAAACGCGGCTTGCCGAGCTCTCAAGTCTATGGTGGAAAGGCCATTGTCATATCAACTCACACGCCTGTCTCAATACCTCGAGGTTTTGAGTGTCTGCATGTCCCGGATACATTTAGATGATAGATTTAGTGTAGATGGCGCCCCAATGCCGCGTAAAGGCATCAACTCTTCCAGGATAGCCTCTCTATACCTTTTGAGGCCGTGAATTTTCGCCAAAGTGAAATAAAATTCGGTAAGAGCCCGCGATCGAGACCTTCACTGATCAGATGACGTCTCTTCGGCGGAAAGCATATAGTATAGCAACGACACCATGTCTTTTTAAGCTAGAGAATATGGCATATTAGGTCTATTGGGACAGTAGAGATGCTTCTTAATGTGGCTGTGATATTCTGACTTGCATTCGTGCGTGATGGTATCCCGTCCTGCGGCTATGCCTGCAAGTCTGATGAGACTTGCGTACCGTAAAACCACTGTCGGCAGGAGTCAGTTGCAAGTTGCTCCGAAGTTTAAATAAACATACAAGAGCTCTCTTCCCTTATCCTCTTTTTTATGAAAACGATAATCATCCATGACTTGCGCTGTTATTAAATAAAGCAGAGACAACAGGCCAGCTCAATCTGTATACTGCCGAGGTCACCAAGACGGTGCCAGCTACCTGCCGGTCAACGACCGTCCGAGCCACCCGTATCTTGTTCCGGTAACTATATTTGTCGCGCTAAAAAGAAAAAAAGAGTCTGTTCCACGCGGGAAAGTGACTTGCTTCTCCGAAGACGGTCGATATATCCTGATGCGGCCGGGATTAGCTGCATCAGCACAAAGGATGCATCGCGAGGTGCCACAAGGAGGTCAGGAGGTCAAGCCAGGCTTTTCAAGGATGGAAGCCTCAATCATCCAGGTCAGGTTACACACACCCAAATAATCATGTTTATATACAGGTCAAGGGTCAGGTCCCCGGATTAACTGAGCCAATGAGCTTCTAAACCCAAAGATAACTATTAGATCAACTTCAAAGCTGAAAACCGGCCCTCTATCCAGCCCTTGCCATAGTCTTGTAGGCCTACTGGATCCTTTTAGCAGCTCTAACAGTAGCCCATGTTCTGTGCGACAGGAGTAGCGTTCAGCTCCCAGGAGGCACACCGAATCGTCTCATGTAGGCCGAATCTTGTGACCGGTGCAATGCAAATGCAAGTCTTAATTATATTAGTCAGGGCGTGCTAGTATTTGTCTCATGTGTGGGGATATGTCGCATGTGTTAATCTCGGCAGGTACAGAAATGAGATTTTCTTCACCAAAAGTTCCCCCTTTGTTTCTAGACTTGGTAACAAGCTTCGAAGTGAGTCTCTCTGATTTATCCCGCGTTTTGTCATCCCCACCCACCCTCGTATACAAAGAAGCTTTTCTCTCAGAAGTGTGCTTGTTGTGTCATCCTTCGGAAGGGTTCATGGCATCTGCCTTATATTTAGAAGACTTCCCAGCCACTTGATGAATCAGTGTGGCTGGCCAGCCTCTCAAACTCCCGATATCATTGACGTTATGTCATCCAGTAATTACGTCAAGTTTGCTTGTTCAACTGCCAGAGATAGCCTCATCTGACAGCATCAGCAGATAGCAGACAACAGGTTCTTACACCGCGTCACCACAAGATAGACTAGAGTTTTGCCTAAAAAATTACATGATTACCTAAAATCTCAACTAGATACCTAACTAATAAAATGGCGGGAATAATTGCTTGGCCTAAGAACTCACAGCCCTTGATGGATTCTTCGCCTTGCACCCACAGCCCTGACGTGCAACTAGTGACGCGGTATATTCACACGCTCCTACTATATCCACAGCTCAGCGCCGATGCAAAACGACTCACGCGCAATTGCCACGTTTGTATGGAAACAAGATGCTGGCATCCTAATTGCCGGGCGGGAGTGGGCAAAAGGGGGGACAACATGTCCCTCGTATGCAATGTCCGCCTTTCTACTCCGTATCACTGCAACGAATAGAAGACTGACCAAGGCAAGCCCGGTCGTGGAACCCCAACTTGTGCTGTGTTTTACTGTCCTGTGTTTTGTGTCTTGGAGAACTAACTACTACTTGCTGTTATTAATATCATCCCGAGTGATACATTTTCTTGATTGCCTAATTCTTATTCGACTAGTAGATGATGGCTGTGCAGTCCCTACTCTATTTGTCACACGGTTGGTCCACAACAACGGTCACACAACAACAAAGGAAATATCACGAGGCCCGAAGTCGGACCTAATCGAGGCCTGCCTCAGGCCTCAAGTGGTCACCGACTTCCTGTATATTTCTTGTATATATAGAGACCTTCGGTCCCTCAAGGCCTCATGGAAGCCAAGGACCTTTGAAACCTAAAAGTCGATTATTGAGATTGTTGAACCCTCTGTTCCAAGCCCAGTTAACCTGCCCTTGTCAAACTATTTTAGCTGCCGTCTTTTAGACATCTCCATTATTTAAACATCTTCTGTATCCGTTGAATAAGTTCCCAACTTTCCTTGCTACGATGAAATACTCTCTAGTCGGATTTATTGGTCTTGCAGCTCAGCTCTGCTCGGGTTTCACGTTTTTTGCTCGAATATTAAATGGAGACCTCTGCACGCTCTCCGGCGAGGCTTCAACGACAATTAATGAAATCGAACAACAAATTCAGCAGGCAACGGAAATTCCGCCAAAACAACAGCGAATTATATTCAAGGGGCGGCAACTGCAAGGAGACCACGTTCTTGCGGACTATGGCATCCAGGAAGGTTCAGAGATACGTGTACTGCTCAGGCTTGTACCAAATTAGGATTTTCTCAAATAGGTGGCTATGCCAGACTATCTAAAGTTCCTGGTAAAGAGGCGGATCAGCTGGGCGGAGTCAGAAGATTAAGGCAGTTATATTGAGCGCGAATCGGAGACGACGTGGCGAGAGTGGAAAGTGCTGCTGTCATGCAGCACGGTTGTACGGTGCAGTTTGGATAAAAAGAGAGACTCTTGAAATTTTACATCAAAAGAGGAGTGATGTAAAACTAAACACTTGTTGTCACACTGCTGCTGCTAGGCAGCGGTACAGCAATGACTGTTTCCTTGAAAGAGCGACTTGATCTTGACATGTCGTGTCGCCAATGTAGCCCGATTTTATTAGAAATCCAGCCAGTTGCTGGTGCCGTAAAGTGCCAGTTTGTAGATTCATATGGTTCATCTGTGAACTATTGCTGCTGCACGCTTTCTCCCTTCAATATCACAAGAGGGCTGAGCCACCTTCTCCCGATGCCTCCAGCGGAGCCAAGTTATCTGGTCCATCAATCATAGAGGTGCAAGCATGACACAACCCCCGGGGGTACGAGCCGAAACCCAAAAAAATAAAGTTGAGACAACTACTCGCCTGATATTTCTTGTTCCAAGACACGAGTACGGACAATCTGCTTGAAGGTTTCGTACTGTCGTCACGATTGACAAGCAGCTGCAACCACAGATGCGTTGCTAATGGGAAGCTGAATGAGGAATAAGTCTTCATAGCTGACCATGTTGGCTCCTCAGAGGAGGGATAGGCGCTTACTTCGTGCTTGTCAAAAACCTACTGGTGGAGGTAGGAAAGCGGCCTCCTGAGAGTGAGACTGGCGGCTGTTTCAAGCCCCTCTGTTGACATGAGAGCCTTCCTAAAACCCAATCTGTCAATACTGAATCCCAAGTCGACCCCCTGAGGAGGATTCCGAGCCTTGCACCTCTATACGTTCGGTCGCAGCGATCGGCTGGCACGCAGACAGCCGTGGAACTGCAACGGTGTTTGCCGATTAAAAGCAGTGCAAGGCTTCCAGATGACCACCGAGGATTGGAGATGTGCGATGAGCCTTAAAAGAACTATCCTCATAGTTGATAGGTGTGACAGGGAGCTATGCCCAAAAATTTGAGCTATCGCTAACCATTCTCCATTCATCTACTCTCTCCGAAAAGGTTTATTTTACCCAGAACAACTATGCCTGTACCACTTAAGAGTGAAACCAAGTTTCTCGGGCTCTCCTGATGAAAGCAAATCCAAAAGTCCACGCTTCTCCAGGTCCTGGCAGTATGCTCTTTCCGAAGGGAACTCTTCTGCCAGGTGGTTTTGATCCATGTCACGGATGTGACCATTTAGTTCTCCGCTATTGACTACTTCAGGGTTGGTTTTCGCGCCCTTGCGCCAGAGCACTAATTCACACCAGTATCTCACACTGTTCCATAACCAACGAATGGCACGACCCATGATCGTACGCCATCGAGGAATGGAGATTTTTTCAGAGTCGCTCTCCTTTTCGATGCATCTTTCAGAGACTAGCTTCCTTGTGTATGCGGCCAACTCTGCAATCGTGGCATACTCGTTGTGCCAACATTTAACAATAATATCGTCAATTAGAGGGTCACCATCCAGCTCGGGAAACTTCATGTTCTGCAATAAGTTCACAACCTTGGGTCCATGCTCCTTGGGATCCTCAGTAAGACAACGATCTCCATAAACTTCAAAGCCATAGTTTATCAAGTAGTACAAGGAACCAAGGGCGAATTGCTCTGTTCGAGGACCCAGGAAGCCGGCTGTTCCACGTCGTCCTTGATCCGGCTCGTTGCTATTAAGTACTCTTCCGTACGGGGCCATGCAAGCTTCAAAGTCTGTCCCAACTTTCGCCGTACAATCAAAGTCAGATAACTTCAATCGATTGCGATCAAGCAGGATGTTTTCGGGTCGTAGGTCACCATGGGCGAGATTGAGCGATTCGAGGAAAGCGACGGCTTGAGCAAGGTCGTTCATCCATGTCTTTCGTAGGGGCAGAGGTTCCAGCTTTTCAACTTTAGTGACAATTGTAGTTTCCTGGTCTCGGACCTGATGGTCTTGTATTCTAGAGCAAAGGGATGCATCTTGTGACGCAGTCAGTAGATACTCCAGTCAACATGCCAATGGGGCCCCCACCTCGCATGTACTCGAGGAAAATGCCGTTATCTGTATAGAGGAAACATTGCACTATGGAAGGACAGGGCGCATGTCTCGAGAAGATGTCGTAAATCTCGACTTCTCTCCGGAATTGCTCCCGCTCGAATTCACCCGATTTTGGGACCTTGACCACGATGCGAGGATGGACCTCATAGACGAAAGAGATGCCTCCTCTCCAGACCCAGTGCACATCGGGAAACTGGCGTTGAATACTCATGCCAAGAATAAAATGTTTAAAAGGAATGTTTTGAAGTGCGCGCGCAGGGAAAATTAGGTTGTGCATATGAGAGAGACGAGAGAAGAAAAGAAGAGACCATCCAGGGGCTGACTAAGGCCTAGATCTAGAACACAGGCGCTTTTATAAGTAGATTTAAATTTTGTGAAAAATTTATAAAAAAGTTACCTTTCTTAAATTAACATATAAAAGTTATAAATTTAAGTAAACTTATAAAAATTTAAAAATTAAATTAAACTGTTGTGATTTTACCACCCCAGAGGGCCCAGACGTGGTGTCGCTAGGCGCGGCCAAAATGCCTAGTTGGCTGGAACAAGGATAACCCGGCCCGGTGCATTAGGCCACACACGTGATGACCCGTAAAAGGGGTCACCACGGCAACAACACCATGCGTAAATGTCACGATGCCTCGCACACACAGCTAGCTAGCTTCTCTTTTATCTATGCATATTGAATTGACTTTATTACATCCACCTCTAGATATCTACAAATTTTCCCTTATGAGACCTACAGTTATTTATTTATATAAAAAATCAGTAATTTATAAATAATATAGTAAAAACTTAAATATGTGTAAGTACTTAGAGGTAGTCGTTTTTACACTTTAGCTGCGAATATTACCTTACGCGTTAATGCTAGTCTTTTAGCGCTAGCTCTATTAAAGTACTTCCTCTCCTACCAATAAATGCACTTTCAAGCTCGTCGTCCGCTGCTAGCTCACCAGATATGCGAATGCATCCTGGGTCACAGCTCGTGTTGCCAATATAGCCTGTTGCTTTGATCTGAGCTGAGGGCGAGCAGTTGGAAATAATTAACTTAAAGCAGACATAAAGCTGAAAGGTATGCGATTGCATATTCTTTCTCCTCGAAGCCATGATTTCGGAAGAATCCGAACAGCCTTGCAATCGCCATTGTATATCGATCATCATTCGAGACATGACCAGTCACGCTGTAAAAAGTATTCCAAAACAACTGCCGAAGACTGTGGTGGTTGGGATGAAAGTGCCAATCGGTTCTGTTTTGGATGCCAAGGACGACCTCCATGCTCGCGAGACATACTCCAAACGGGGCAATCTTCGCATCGGCCCAATCAACAATACCTGCGACGAGCTAATTAGTCCATCTTCCTAGGTCTCCTCTCGAAAACCGAAGTGAAAGGAGGGGAAAACCCGTATAACCACTTGCCTGTAATGTGGCCAGTGGCTTCATCCACGTGGATGTTATTCTCCTGAACAGGAATTGGGGTTAGCAATTGCTAATCGGCATTAGTTCAAGAGGCATGTGTTCCAGCAGTGGGACCCGCTATTTCAGGAAGATCGTTCCCCTAGTAGAGAGGAAATAAAGAACTCTAAATTCCATACCAAGAGGTCATCATGTTGGAGAACCATGGGATAACCGGGCCGGAAGAGCCCTGGCAGCCCCTGGCGAACCTCGTCTAGCCTTTCTTGTAGCTGAGGAGGCAAATCCAGAGAGACTTTGACTTTGTCCAGGACCTCGAAGTACTCGTCAAGCAAGCCAGGAGGTGGCTCTAACGTATGGGCATGCTTGTTGATCCACGCTGAAGCAAAGAACCTATACATATCTTTTCGTTAACCAGACTTATAATGTAAACAGCTACAGATGGGGTATCAGACCTTGCAAAGTCTTGCACAGTTTATTGCAAGCGTGCTTCTGCTTGAGGGGCAGGAGAAAATACAGTGGGGCGATAAAAGTAACGATAATGAACGCGCCCAACGCGCCTCGTCGCGTCACCTTGCATTTACACCTTCTTTTTATTTTTTATATAACTCAATGAAAATGGACCTAATAACGCCTAGAACTAAATATAGCCCTTATAAGAGAGCTAGAATTATTTTAGCATTTAATTCGGGTATAACCGGAAAAGAGATCGCCGAATCTAAAGGAGTTCCGCTAGCTACCACGTACGGTATTCGTCGCTACTATTGCGAGTAAATATTAGCTAAATCTTTACCACGTAGTAGTAGGCATCCTTTTTTTAAACTAGCTTTATAAGATAATATCCTTTTATATCCTTCTAAATCTAAATAACCTTTATTAGCTATAATAGTAGCTACACTACTAAATAAAGAATAAGATATTAATTTAGTAGATTGTAGGAGCCCATATTACAGTATAGGGTAACGTAATTTATTATAACGTGTACTACATTTTAGATTATTTAATCATTTTATATATTGAATGTATTTCAATCCTAATAAAGGATATAAACCTTTAAAAGAAAAGAAATTTATAACTGTTTATATGTTATTTTTAAAACTAACCTTAAACTAATTATAATTATTTGTTACATCTATTTTTCTAGTAGTTAGAAATATTAATTTAAAAGCTTTAAATAAATTAATATATATTCTTTATTTTAGTTAAAAACAACCTTCATTATTTTTTTTTATGTTTACCACTAAAATATATATCTTGAAATAACTAATTACTTATAACTTAAAGTTATAATATGTATATAAAGTAGTAATTTATATTAACTTTATGAATAGTTTATATTTTATTATACCTATTCTTATTTATTTGACTTATATTGACTTATACAAAAGTCAAGTTTATTGCTATCTTTTCTAGATAAATTTTTTAAACCCTTTCCTAAATTATTATATAGTATTTTAACTCCTATAGAAAAATCATTAAAATCTTTATTCTTCTTACCTTGTAAATTATACTTAATAAAAAAAGGCAAAATCTTATTATATAAATTATTTTTATTTCTTATAGTTAAAGAAACTATATCTTCACCACACTTTTTTATTATACTATAATTTAAAATAGCATAACTTTCATTATTCCTTTATGTTAAGGATAAATTATTATTGTATCTATAATTTTCCTAATTTACTATTTATTCTCACTTATTATTTTTTTATTTTATTAATAATAAATATTAGTGTAAATCTAATTCGTCTTTAATATATAAAGAAGATAATACTACGAATACTTATAGTTTATTCTTTTCTATTCTTTACTATATCACTTATAATATTTATATTATCGAATAAATAACCAAATACATATAAAGTTATAAGACTAGCTATTAATAATAATAATTAAGCTATTTCTAATTATACTTTATTATATTTAGCTGCTAATGTAAATTATTTTATTATTAAATTATAAGTTATTATACCAAATATACGTTTAATAAATAGTAAATCTCACTTATTATTTATAATATTATCTGCGATATAAAAGATTAAAATTATTAATATTAAATATGTAATATATATGTGTAAAATATAGTTGGTATTTAATAAGCTTAAAACTATATTTATATTTACTTTAAGTTCTATAGAGAATACTAATAGAGAAGGAGGATTATTTAAAGGAGGTGTAGTTTTAAATGGTAATAAACTAGCATCTTTTAAACTTATTAGTTTATTTTTATTAATATTACTAATAGCATTTATTAATGTAATAGCACTACTAGCTATAATAGCTTCTGCTATTATTACTCCTATTTTACCTGCTAGATAAAGTCCACTAGATTTAGCTATACAAATTTAAATATATTCTATTAATTTTGGCTACTAGTCATAACTAAATTTAGTTTTATATAATTTACATAAAGCAAATTATAATTAGAATAATAACAATCACCATTAGCGAAATTTTTTTCTAATTTTTGATATGATTCTCGAAAATCAAGCAAAATTAGGCATTATACTAATTTTATAGATAGAAAAAAATTCATTTATAAAAACTATAAATGTTGCAAGCCCTAAATAAAAAATTATAGAAATTCAATTTAAATATTCTGTAAATACATTTATTCCTAAATAATTATTAATTAAATATTTAGAAATAAAACTTACACTAGATATAAGTATTATTTTACTAATATTTATTCTAGATTTAATTTGAGCAGCAATAAATTTCTTTACATCACTATAAGTTCTAATGTTTTTTTATTATAAGGAGAATAATAAACTATATAATGTTTGTATTTTATAACCTAAGTTATAATAATATCAGTCTAATTTAAAATTTATAATTGTTCGCTTAATATAGTATATATGAATAAATAACTATTCATTACTTATTTTTAATTTCTATTTTTATAATTCATAACTTTCATTATTCCTTTATGTGCAAAGGCTTGTAATAAACCATAGTAACCTACAGCATTAGGTCCTAATCTTCTTTGCATACTAGCCATAGTTTTTCTTTCAGCTACAGTTACGTATGCTACTACTAATAATGCAGGTAACATTAATAATAAATTTTCAATTATTGAAATAACAGTCGTTGGTAAATTCATTTTTATTTAAATTAAAATGCTAGTTAATCTTCCTTTCATATTATAAAAAATTAATAATATATAACCTATTATATATTAAACTTTAGATAACCTAGATGCAAAAATAGTTAGTAATTTTTTTTATTAATAAACTATTTATTATTAAGGAAATATACCTCATCTCAGAGTCGAACTAAGGTCCTGATATTAGAAGTATCATACTGTCTCAAGACGTATTTACTGTGTGTTATACTATATTTGTATAATATATTTCCATTTTTTTCAAAATGGTTCAGACTATGTCATCATATAATTATATTATAGTACAAAAATATTTAGATTAAATTGTAGAATACTTCTATTTAGTATATTGATCTAATATATCTTTATAATAAACAGCTGAATTTTTAAATGAATATAGTTTATCATTAAAATCAAAATTATGAAAATTATTATTTTCTAAGTCTATTTTATAGAACATAGAAGGATGCATATGATAAGTAGAAGTATTTTCTATAGTTATTTTTCCTTTTCAGTTTCTCTTTTCAGCTAAGGAAGAAGGATTTAAAGAATTTATTCTATGTTGATTATATTTAATTTGTAAAAGTTTTTCTTTTAAAGCTAAAGCTTTCTTTTTAGATTTTTTACGTTCTTTATAATAAGAGTAAAAATTAAATTCAGGTTTTTTAGGTTTATTATTTAATTTAGATAATCTATAATCTAGAGATAATTTTAAATCATTTAATTTATTTATTATATTAGATTTCAATAAAGTTATAAAAGATAATATAAATTTTAAACTTACTACTATTAAAATTAATGCAATAAAAAATAATAAAATAATAAAAACATATCTAACTATAGAATTAAACAAAGAATATTCTCTTTTATTAATGTTATCTATTCAGTTTTGAGAACGTAATTAGCTAAGATATAATATATATACCGTTATTATTAATATATAAATAAAGCTTTATTTAATTTTAATATAATCTTATAAATTATATATAATAATATAATTAAAATAAGACTTACTACTTCTTTAAGTTACTAGTTTAGCCGTTAGGCTATTAACTAATATTTCTTACTACTATATTAACTTATATTAGGGTTTTTTTAGACTTAATATAATCGATTAACCTTTTAGATTTAACTACGAGAGTTTTAGGCTAGTTAAGCTATTACCTTAACTACTATTTATTTTAAAGATATTTATTATTCTCTTAAAGTAAAATTACATATCCCTTTATATATTATAAAGGATTTACCTTCACTTTAAGGTTAGCTAAGAATATTATTATACTTACCTATACACTACTTTTTAATTTATATAGTAAACTACCAATTAAAACGTACGATTAGCATGTGTTAAGCACTTAAATAGCATTTAATTAAAGCTATTATTAAACTTATTTATTTTATAATATAAATTTCTTACTATACTTGCATATTCGGCTAAGAAGAAGAAAACGAATACAACAGCAGCGTGTTCTGTCATGAATCCACTAACTAATTCAGATTCCAATTGTTAATCGAAATTTTTATCTATCTATCTATAGGTTTAAACATATAAATATTATTATAAATTAAATTATTATTCAAATACTTACCTACAGTTACTTTAGATATATTTAGGTATTTAGCTAATTCTACATTATTATCAAATTTATTAATTAAATTGTTATTTAAATCAGATATACCTACACCATTTAATTCTAATAATCGAACTATTATTATCTTCGGGTTGCTAGGGATCGAACCTAGTTACTCTCCGTCCCAAACGAAGCACCTTACCAATCCGGCTCCAACCCGTTTTATATTAAATCCTAAATTAATAAGATTTAATATAAAAATTTAAATATATTCTATTAATTTTGGCTACTAGTCATAACTAAATTTAGTTTTATATAATTTACATAAAGCAAATTATAATTAGAATAATAACAATCGTAATCTTAAAAATAAATTTGAAATTATGATCTTTTGTTTGACGTCCATCACTTTGTATAATAAAACATCCCTCTGCATCAGTAAAACCTTTAAATCATTCAATATAATTTTGAGATAAAATTAATTGTTTTTCTAATAATATAGGAAATCCTTTAATAATTACAAGTTCAGGATCTATAGAATTCTCTATTAATCCTGTAAATTGACCATCATCACATATTCAATAAGCTATTGTAATAGTATTTAAGTATTCTTCAATATTTAAAGGTATTATTTTTGTATTATTTTCAGATAAGAAACTATTAGCTAAGCAATTAAGTAATTCAAAGCTATGTAATTTGAAATAAATAGAAGTATTATTACTATTATATCTATAATCTTTTCTAGAATAGTATTTAATATCCTCTAAATTTAAATTTATATTATGTAGAATATTATATATATCAGTAATATATTCTTTATGTTTAATAGTTTGTTCAAAAGTCATGTATACTTTATGATCTTTATTTCTACCAATATGAGCATCTCCCAATATACAACCAATCAATAAATCTATTATATTATTATTTAGTTTTTTCATGTTTATTTGTTTATATATTATTTAATTACTGTGTTTAATAAAGGTAATTCGAAAGGATTTACAGGTTCTATTCCCATAGGGGGTCATTGAGCACCTAATTCTACAGTAGGTGTTAAAGCACTCATTTTTTTTTATTTATTTTAATTTTATAATATTTTTATATTAATACTATATTCTATTTTTATTCATTCTACCTTTTATTTTTTTTAATTCATCCAACCCTTTTCTGGTTAAATGAGCTTTATTTTCTATAAGTAAAGCCGCTTGTTTAAAATCTTCGATTAGGATATTCTAGCATATAGCCAACTTCTAATTTTATATTACTATAAAAAACCCCCGATGTCACAATTATTTTTAGAATAATTGATATAAACTGTATCTATTCATGCAATTTATATAAAAATGATTTATGTACATGATTGATTATTAAAGGTTTTAACTCATTAAAAGAATTTTTACTTATATATATTCTATAATAAATTCTATCTGTTTTACTTTTCTTATAATGTATAGAACATTTTAAATTATATTTATTAGACATCATTCATTGGTATATTTTTTAAATTATTTTTATTATAAGAATAAACAACGTTTTTTCATTCTTTAGAGAAAGAAGGTAAATACTTAATTTTTCCTATATCTCCTACTTTATTTTTTAAAGCAACAGTTTTAGAATTATTATTTAAATTGTTAGTAAATATTTTCATGAATTATTCATTCTTAAATTTCTTTTATTTCTTTTTAAAATATGTATAATAAAAATGTTGGGTAGTATTAAAAGGATTATTGTTAATTTTTTGTGAATTACCTCTTACTACTTCTACTCTTTTTCCTTCAACTAGATTAAATAAATCTTTAAGATCAGAGAAATCACCATCTCTCAATATATATAAACTATTATGGTTCTCCAGAAATCATAATCAGAATTATCTAAAATTCTTTCCATGAAATATTGAATATCTATTTCTATATATATTATTTTAGATGGTTCTTTCAATTCTAGCTTTTTACATTTAAAAGGATCATTTATAACTATAGAAATTATATATAAAATATCTATATTTATTGTATTGGAATCAAAGTTGGTTTTGTATTTATATAAGGTTTATATAAATTATATAAAAATTCTAAATACTCTCTATGCTTTTCACTAAAATTTATTGAAAGACGAACTCCACTAGTAGAAGAAGTTCTTTCTAAAGAACCATCACTTAGTAATAAACCTATTATTACATCACCTAAATATATAGGTAATTCATTTGTAATTCTTAGAATTTTATCTTTTTCAGATATTGATTAATTTTTCATAACTAAATTTAAATATCTTATTATTGTTGTTCTATTCATATATTCTTTAATAATATTTATTTTATTTTATTTTTTATGTACTATAATTTTCATTATATGTTGGGCTTTTTAAAAGGATTATTGTTTTTATTAAGTATATTACTTAATTTAGGTAATAATATTTGGTTATTAAATTTGTATTGATTAAGAGAATACATTAAATCATATTTTCTTAATAATCTTAGATATGTTTTTCAATATCTATTTATAATTACGCTTCATATTTTTTTTAGATAAAGGTTTTTTAAAGTTATAAATTGATTTAGATATTCTAATTTATATTTTAAAAATCTCTTTTTAGAGATATTATCTGATATGAAAACATATTCGTTTTTATTAGCTTGTGTATTACTTAATATACTATAAATTTTATTTATGTTACTTTTATATAATAAGAAGTAACGTTTTATTAAGTTTTTACTTATTTTTTTATTTATTTTTAAATATTTCTTTTTTAATAATTTTTTCTCTCTATTAACAGTAAATAATGTAATAATTGCTTTATTATTGGTATGTTTAATTTCAGCATTACTTACATATATTCTTCTTAAGAAATTACGTCTTCTTTTTAATAATATGAATTTCTTAGATCCTATATATTTATGGTCTTTGAAATATAAATTAAAATAACTTTGAATGATTATGAGCTAAACCTACTGGTGTTATTAACTCTTCTATATTAGAAGGAATTAACTTTTTACCTTTCACATAAAATAATTCATAGTAATAGATTAATTGGGGTAAAGTTAAAGTTTTAAATTTTAAAACCTGATTATAAGAATTTGTCTTTTTATTATATACTTTAATCAAAGTTGGTTTTGTATTTATATAAGGTTTATATAAATTATATAAAAATTCTAAATACTCTCTATGCTTTTCACTAAAATTTATTGAAAGACGAACTCCACTAGTAGAAGAAGTTCTTTCTAAAGAACCATCACTTATCTTGTTTTCTTTAGTTTTAAAGCTAAAGCTTGAGTAAATAAATCTGTATTATATGCTATAGATTTTAAATTGATTATGTTATATTCTATTTTCTTACCTATTATTTTATTAAGTATATTACTTAATTCTTAAAACATTGATTCAAAAGCCCTTAAGACGAATCGAACGTCTATCATATAATTAAATATTTACCTTTTATAAGGGGTTTTAAAAGAAAATAAGTGAGTTTCTATTTTCTTTTAATTATAAGAATTATTTCTTAATATGTAAGTTTATAAATATATCTAAATTATCATATAGTTGAGTTATAAAATAGCATTCAAAAGATAAAGATATAAATAATACAATAAATATTATAAATATGTAAATATTATTAGTCTTCTTATTTATAATAACTATCTTAATTAGATAATTATTAAATTTATCTCCTATTCATTTATTTAATTTAATTTGATTTTCATTAAAATAATATTTAAACAAGATCATCATAAATAATATAAGGACTAGAAGTAAACATATACCTACTAAATCACGCTATTCATAGAATCTCTTTTGATTTCTTTTCCTGAAGTTACTAAGATATTTCAATTCACTTCGTTTAGTATTAGATTTCTCTTAGAGTTTATATACTTATAAGATCTTTGTCTTATTTATATAACTAATTCTCTTTAATACATAGCTTAAATTCCATAATAGTTCCTTTATATACTTATATATTTATAATTAATAATTATATATCAGTTTTCTTTAAGACTATATTTCTAATAGTTCTAATAATCGAACTATTATTATCTTCGGGTTGCTAGGGATCGAACCTAGTTACTCTCCGTCCCAAACGAAGCACCTTACCAATCCGGCTCCAACCCGTTTTATATTAAATCCTAAATTAATAAGATTTAATATAAAAATTTAAATATATTCTATTAATAATACTTGTAAGAATTTTATATACTTGTTGTTGGATAATGAAAAATCATCTAAATATCATAGAGTAATATTAAGAAATAAAATAAAAGTTAATAAACTTAAAACAAAAGAATTTATATAAAACATAGATAAAATAAAAAAAAATTTGCGGTGACGCAAAATTAATAAGATTATTTCTTAAATTAAGTTTTTTAATCTCATTTTTATCTAAATTATGACCATATATGTCATAATCAATATAAGGTTCTATAAATAAACAGTTTATAATATAACTAATAAATATCAAAATACAATCTAAGTATTCTAATGTACTAAGAATATTTATATGTTCATTTATAAAATATCTAAATATTATACCTATAATAAATATAGTAGAAATTCTACAAAAAATTTTTTTTAATGTTTTCATCATAATTGTAATAATATAAAAAAAAATAAAAATATATATTTTTATCTATTATTTAGATTTACTTCAATTGAAATCCAAATAAAGCATTTGCTTTTTAACAAATCCTCTCCCCTTTATCGGATATAATAATTTAAACTATAAAAGTCTTATATATTACCTCTTTAATATATGTAGTATATTACTAAAGATAAAGGGGTTACTAAGTTTAGATATTAGCATAATTTATGTAAGACTTAGGTAATTAGCTTTACTTTAATAGAAATTTAGTTTCTCTAATAGATTAATATATTAAATCTATTACCTTTCTTTTATATACTAGTACTAAAGCATCGTAATTAATTTCGCTTTCGCTTACTATATCTTACTTATACTAGCTCTAGGTAATATAAAAAAGTATTTATATTAACATTCTTATTTAAGAAAGGCTATGTTATCTTTATAGCTTCATATAAATTATTACTAATTTACATGTGTAAATAGTATTAGGTAAAGAAAAATACTAAACGAAATTTCACCGTATTACTAATATCCACTTCTTATCGTATATATACTTTACTACTAGTATTAAAAACGGTCTAGTAATTTTAGTTTTTACGTTACTATATTACTCTTAAGGTGAAATGCTTACACTTTTATTTATAAATTAAATATTATTTAATAGTTAGTTTATACTAATAAATTAATTTATTAAAGCTTAATTTAACCTATAACATTTATTATTTACTATAAAGATTACTTAGGTATTTAATCTTATTTATGCTTTATACCTTTATCCTTTAACGTTAGTTTTTATATAGAGGGCTACCTTTACCTTTACTAAGTCTCTTTAGTATAATAGAATTTTATCTCTCCTTCTTAAGTACTACTCTCTTATATTAAACTTTAGTTAAGTATTAATATTATAGAAGCTATATTAACCGTTTAGGTACCCTTTAAACCTAATTAAGATTTATTATTAGTTACAAATCTTACACAAATATTCCATATTTTCTTATTTTTAGTTAGTATATTAATATTAACATTAACTAGCTTTTATCCTAGAAAAGTGTGAGTATCAGAATATTCATCTTTAAAAGATTTAATTTTTAATAACTTTGTTTATTATAATACAAAAATAATAAATAAAATGGGTGAACATCTTAAAATAATAGAATATCCTTTAATTTTATTATTTATTATAACAGGTGCAATATTCTTAATGTCAACTAATGACTTAGTTTCTATCTTCTTAGCTATAGAATTACAAAGTTCCTCCTATGTTTATACTATTAGAAATATTCTTTTTATTATCTTCCAGAGATAAAATTATATCTTTGTTAACAATAACTAGATTGGTATTTAATAATATAACAATAAAAAGTATTAATCAAAGAGGAGTTAAGATTTGTGTAATCTTAATATATTTATTTTTAGATAATGTAAAGTCATCTATATAAAATAAAATAATATTAAGAAATAATGTAAAAGTTAATAAACTTAAAATTCAAGAAGAAAAGTGAAACATAGATAAATAAAATTAAAAATACAGTATTTCTTCTTTTATTTTATTTATAAGAATACCGGAGATTCGAACCCGGATTTGTAACATGGAACGCTACGGTTTTACCCTTAAACTATACTCTCTTTATACTTTACAATCAGTCAGAATCGAACTGACAAATTTCGTTTGGTAGACGAATAGTTTCCCCTTAACCTATGATTGTTATTTATAATATAATTATATTACATTATAAACATCTTTATTTGTCATATATCCAAATAATATAATAATACAAATATAAATTACTATAAATTATTTATATATATTTTATTTATAACATCTCCTATATTTTTAATATTTACTTTTACAAATCTATCATTGTATACTACAAATCCATATTTAACTATTAAATAATATACATATCTAGCTTCTAAATATCTCAAACCTTGTACAAGGTGAAACATTAGAAGATTGTATAGATTGAACTTCTTCTCTAGTGAGAGGTAAATTACTATCAGTATACCATAATTCAGAAATACTTGTACTATCACAATAAACAATATTACTAAAAGTAATATTATAAATATATAATATAGTTATTAAAGTTATTATTATATTATAAACGATGTATAAATTTTTTGTTTTGAACATTTTTTATATATTAAATATTTTAATTAAAAAGAGCAAAATTTCTCTAAATAAAAGTGCTTGGATTTGAACCAAGAATTTGAAGGCTAAACCTCCTTATAAACCAATTCTTTTACACTTTTTTATGTTAGATCTAATCTAACATAAGAATTTTAATATATTATAATAGTTTTGATTACAACCTATTAATAAATAAGATACTTTTATACATAAATTTTATATTTATCTTTATAAAGCTTTCCTGATTTTATATAACTAGAAATAGTTGTTACAGATATTATTACTTCATATTCCATACCTAAATATTTAGCTACACTTCTTTTATTAGTAAATTCTTGAATAAAATTATTAGGTTGAACAATTCAACCTATTTTATGTGAATCACGTTCAAGTACTCTACCAGTAAAACAACCTTCAGCGTCATTTGTTCTTCTATAAGAAGAACAAATTAAAAAACAAATCCTGTTATTCAGTTTGGATTAATATTGTATTTTATATTTTTCATATTATTTATTAAAAAGGTTAAAACAACTAACCAATCATAATAATATATATATTAATATATAACATATTATTAGGAGACGAGAGATTCGAACTCTCAAAACAATTAATGTACTAAATTTACAGTTTAGCCCTTCTTACCAATAAAGGAACCCTCCTTTATATAATATAATAAAATATATTATATATAATTATCGTTAAAATTAATTAATTCCTATCCCTAGGATAGCAACTTTCTTCAAAATAAATTAAAACTGAATAACCTATAGTATTAGATTCTTTTTTAACTATGTTTACACCAAAACTACCTTCAGCATCCACTAAACCACTTACGTATCAAGATAAACGATTATTTATATTATTTTGTGATAATAATGTACTGAATGATTTTTTTATTTTTCACATTCTTTTATTTTAGTTTATATATAAATCTTAAAAAATCTGAATATATGTAAAATTATTTTTACATAAAAATTATAATATAATATAATATATATTTTTATCATCTAAATTATTGTATAACTCAATAATAAAATAGCACTCAAAACTTAAAGCTATAAATAATAAGATAAAAATTATAAAAATATAGATATTACTAGTTTTTTGATTTAATTTAATCAATTTAATTAACAAATTGTTTAATTTATCACCTATTAAATAGTTTAACTTAATATTTTCTTCTTTTAAATAAAATTTGAAAAGTATCATACAAAATAAAATAATAATTAAGCTTAAAGATATACCAATAATAGTGTTCATGGATAATAATAATAATTTAAGTTCACTTAAATTATGAAATCTCTCACCTATAAATCTGTTTATACCGTCAATGTTTGTATCACTTGAAATAACATTACTATTAATTAAAGGAGCTTTTTTAGGTAAACTAGCATTAGTTATTTTATTAATAACTGAGGTACCTATATGAATTCCTCCCGCTAATCCAGCAGAACCTAAAATTATGCCTGCTTTTTGTAAAGGAGGTAGGCTAGATTTACTAATAGCTTTAGCCACTGCCCCAGAAACGCCTGCTATCGTACCTGCAACTCCTATATTACGTCCTAATACTTCAGCTACATCTCTATTAACTTCAATACTACCTCCTATGTTTATACTATTAGAAATATTCTTTTTATTATCTTCCAGAGATAAAATTATATCTTTGTTAACAATAACTAGATTGGTATTTAATAATATAACAATAAAAAGTATTAATCAAAGAGGAGTTAAGATTTGTGTAATCTTAATATATTTATTTTTAGATAATGTAAAGTCATCTATATAAAATAAAATAATATTAAGAAATAATGTAAAAGTTAATAAACTTAAAATTCAAGAAGAAAAGTGAAACATAGATAAATAAAATTAAAAATACAGTTTTAAACATTGATTAAAAAGCCCCTAAGACGAATCGAACGTCTATCATATAATTAACAGTTATATGCTCGACCGTTGAGCTATAGAGGCTAATCGGAACACCTAAGTGTATAAAACACCAATTTTTCGGATTTTTATTATAGTTATGATATATTTTGCATTAACTTGAATAAGGTAAATATCTATCTTTAGGTACGAAATTAAAGGCATTTTCTGAATGAAATTTCTTATAATTAATATCACATAGAATCAATATATAAGAAGATAATCTAAAATCTATAAAGCTTACTATATGACTTTTTTGGCTACTACCTCTTACTATTTGAACCTTAGTGTTTTGAATTACTGTGAACATTTCCTTTACATCAGAATAATCACCATCTTTTAATATATACAAAGTATCCTTATTAAATTTTCAAAAATCATGATTAGGATTCTCTAAGAATTTTTCTATGAAAAGTTGAATTCCTATTTCAATGTATACTACTTTAGAGAAATTTTCTCTTTCTGTTATTTCAAATTTAAATTGCTCATTAACAATAATAGATATTATATAAAACACATCTATATTCGTAATATTTAGTGATTTAGATATATCATCTAAGTTACTTGTAATAGAATTATTAATTACTACCATTTTAGTACTTAGTTAAATCTTGTTTTAGATAGTTATTATTTATTGTTAATACGAAAAGAATATCTGAATTAGTTATTTTTATATCATACTTGCTTCACTTTATTTAAGTCTTTTGTTATCATAGTTTATATATATATATTATTTATAAAAAGGGCCATTCACCCTATACGCAATAGATAGCTTATCTAAGGGGGGGAAGAATTGGAACTTTCATCCAAATCTATCAATTTATATTGATTATAATTTATTATATTATTCTTCCTTATATCTTAGTTACTATGAGTTCTAGCATCTATTGGTTACAAAGGATTTAAGATTTATTGTTCAATATATACTAATAAGAAATGCTAGGATTTCTTCCTAAGGTAAATCATAAATTTTACTTAAATCTATTAATAAACCCAGATCTATAATCATAGGAAGAATAATTATTTCTGAGTTTAAAATATTCAATTTTTTATATTAAAATAATATAAACCAAAAAGAAGCAAATGTTTCTCTAAAGGGTGAGTCGAACACCTAAGTGCGAATTACACAATATTTAGTCTTACCTATGACAATTTTTCCTTATAATATGTATTTTTTATTAATACATATTATACTTATTTCAGGCCTGAATAATTTAAATACATTTTTAAATTCATTTTCATTAATGTTTAATATAAATATAGAACCACATAGTTATACAATTTCTAATTTATTATGTCTAGATAAGATCTTAATCTAGAAATAAGTAAATATCTTATTAAAATATTATAAATTATTTATATATATTTGATTTATAATATTGCCTATATTTTTGATATTTACTTTTACAAATCTATCATTGTGTACTACAAATCCATATTTAATTGTTAGATAATGTACATATCTAGCATCTAAATATCCCATACCCCTGGACAAAGAAAGTTCGACTAGGGTTGTCTCTATAATATTTACAATTATTAATTAATAATCATTCTCTTTTATGTGTAGAATATTAACAAGGATGATTAAAAAAATCTTTAATTTCAATCTTAACTTGTCTTCTAAGACCTCTACTAGGATATCAATTTTCTTTAAATTTATCATATTCTATAAAATCTTTAGAAAATAAATATCAAGATGTTTTTCTTCTTATTCTTTTTTTTAAAGGAAGAAATAAAAGATTAGAAGACTCTCTAGAATTAGAGTGTGTAGATTGGATTTCTTCTCTAACGACTGGTAAATTATTCTCATTAAATCATAATTCAGAGATACTCGAAGTATCACAATAAACTATATTATTAAAAATAATTTTATATAGATAAAATATAGCTATTAGAATTATAACTATATTATAAACAAAGTCAAATAAATTTTTTTTACAGAACATTTTTTTTATAATTTTACATTAAAAAAGAAGCAAATAATCTTCTAACGGAAAAAAGGTGAGTCGAACACCTAAATGCGAGTTGCATAATATTTAGTAGATATTTAGTCCTACCAATGACAATTTTTCCTTATAATATGTCTTCCTTTATTCATATTATACTTTATTTTTAATATTTTTTCTAAACCCAAAGGTTCTAAATGTAATTTTTTATTCATTAATTCAGCTATCAAACAAAAGTCCCGGTGGTAATCCCAAGACTTTACACCTTTAATTAAATCATATTTACTAAAGATAGGAATTATTTTAGTATTAATATCTTCAAATTTTGATATAGTTAGTAATGTATGACCATTATTACAACAATTAGATATCACACCACATTCCAAACTGTTTTTAGTATATTCATTAATAAGTTATCTTTAGAATGTAATTGTATTTGAAAACAAGCCTGAACAAACCATCCTATCTTATAATTTTTATCTTTAGCTTATAAAAAACCAACCTTCTGCATCATTTGTTCTTCTATAAGAAGAACAAATTAAAAAACAAATCCAGTTACTCAATATGGATTTAATATATTTTTTGTATTTTTCATATTAATATTTATTTTTTATATCAAAAAAAAAGCAAATAATCTTCTAACGGAAAAGAGGCGAATCGAACGCCTAGGTGCATATAACACAGTATATAGCAAATACATTACCTTACCTATGGATACTTTTCCTTTAAAAAAAAGTAGCAAGTGTCTTACCCTACCAATGGAAGACTTTTCCTGTATAACGAATTAGATCAGAATCGAACCGACATCTATTTCCGTGACAGGGAAATCCTTTACCTAATTAAGTTACTAATTCTATTTAAATATCTAGCTTTATTCATTCTAGATTTTATTGATTTAATTTGCTTTAATCCATCAACTGTAAGATGAGCTTTATTGGCAACTAACTCTGCAACTTTACAAAAATCTTCAAAATCCAGGACTTTCATACCTTCTATATTATATTTTTTAAAAAAAGGTATAATTATAGTATAAATGTCTTGAAATCTAACTACTTTATAGCTAACGCAATTTCTTTTATCCGATTTAAACGTATAACCACAGTTGAATCTATTCACAAAACTATTAATAAGTAATTCATCTCTAGAGTGTTGTTCTATAATTATGCGTAAACTTACAGAATAACCTAGTTTTGTGGTCTTAGATCTTGAGATATCTATAAAGAAGCATCCTTCTCCTAAAAAGAATCCGGCAAATCATTCAAGACTAAAATTAGAAGAATTTACTTTAGGTCTATTTATTCTAATTATTTCTGGAAAACTATAATTTAATTTAATAGAAAGTCCACGATTTAAGGATGTTTTCATCAAACTAATAATTTTCATTAAGCCTTCTCTATTAAGATGTTCATTTTTATTAATAATTTCTAAAACATTTTTAAATAAAATAAAATCACTATATTTTTGTAGGCGGAGCCTAGTTAACAAAGGATACTTATTAAAATGAGGGATAATTGTTTTCAAAATTTCATTTTTATTATTAACACTATAATAAACAAATTTGTCATTAATTAATATTGTACCGCTATTATTAAAATATAGTCTTATTTTTACAAGTAATTCTTTATCTCTCTTATGTAATTTTATCACAAGGTTGAACAATTCAACCTATTTTATGTGAATCACGTTCAAGTACTCTACCAGTAAAACAACCTTCAGCGTCATTTGTTCTTCTATAAGAAGAACAAATTAAAAAACAAATCCTGTTATTCAGTTTGGATTAATATTGTATTTTATATTTTTCATATTATTTATTAAAAAGGTTAAAACAACTAACCAATCATAATAATATATATATTAATATATAACATATTATTAGGAGACGAGAGATTCGAACTCTCAAAACAATTAATGTACTAAATTTACAGTTTAGCCCTTCTTACCAATAAAGGAACCCTCCTTTATATAATATAATAAAATATATTATATATAATTATCGTTAAAATTAATTAATTCCTATCCCTAGGATAGCAACTTTCACAAATTGTGATTTATTTATTATTTTTCTTTATCAAATATCTACCTTTATAAGGCTTTACGTTATTAGTTTTTAATTTATTCATTATAGTAGAATTGCTAACATTTAAAGCTAAAGCCGCACTTCTTACAGAAAGATATTCTTTAGTTATACCTGTAGATAAATCAATAACTAATATAGATATTACTGTTTCCTGAGTAATTACTTCAGCACTTGTTTTGGATTCGAACCAAATACAACCAATTTCCAAGTTTTGTTTTAAGTAACTATCAAAAGATATATTACTAAAACATATAATTATTGTTAAAATTTATTATTCCCGCGCAACTTCCACTACGCGAACCGTATTTCGACTTAACACTAATTAGAGCCACGCATACGAAGATTCTTAATAATAGAATATAGAACCTGCTTATTCTTTTTACTGATCATCAAGAAAGCAAACTTATTGCGCATGCTCTTTTCAGCATGTGACGAGTGGTTAGTACCAATCCAAGGTAAATTCCCCGTGACATGGTGATTCACGATTACTAGTAATTACTTATTCATATAGTCGAGTTTCAGACTATAATCCTTAAAATTTATATCCTATTTTTAGAGATTAGCTTAAATTCACATTTTTGCATCTCTTTGTCTAGGAATATGTGGCACGTCTATAGCCCACAATATCACACAGCGATCAAATTTATCTTACAAATAAATTGAACAATTCAGCCATTTAACTTAAATTTATTGATTCATATTAGATTTTATATCTAATATTTCATTTAAACCTTCTTTAGTTAAATGTTCTTTATTATTAATCATTAGAACAACTTTATTAAACTCTATAAAATCTAAACTTTTTTTACCTTTAATAGGGTATTTCATAAAGAAAGGGATTATTATATTAGTAATATCATTAGTATTTGTAATCTCAAATTTTACAGAATTATTATTTAAATAAACATATTTATCACCAAAACTACCTTCAGCTGTAGTTAAGTACTTAATAAAATCTTTTTCTCTAAGGTGTAAATCAATAGAGAATCTTAATTGTACTCTTATACCTAACTTATTAGTTT